AGGCGCGCCCCGCGAGCCCCCGCGGCCGCAGCCGGCGCGGCCGGGCGGGCAGGGAGGACTCGGGCGGCCGGGCCGCGGGAGAACGCGGGCAGAGCGGCGTCTGGCTACCGCACGCCCGCCGCCCGCGCGTGAGGGCCTGTGGCCACGGCTGCCGCCAGGCCAGGCCGGCTCCCGGCGCGGGCGGCCTCTGCCCGGGCGCAGGCGAGCGCGTCACGTCGCGCGGCGGCGGCGCGCCCCGGGGTCAACGCCGGCGGGCGACGTGGAAGGCGACCTTGCCCCGGGCAGCGGCCGCCTCCGCGGTCCTCCGCGATCCCACGCTCCCTTGCGCGAAGGACGGCGTCCCGCGTCCGCAGGGCCCTTCTACCCCCGCGCGCCGCCTCTCTATGATCCGCGGCCGCGTTCCCGGCCGGGTGTCATGGCGGCCGGCGTCGAGTTGGCAGGAGTTGCCCGCGGAGCTGGGGAAAGTCGCTAGAACAGAGCGAGAAGCGGCCCGGCCCGGACGCTGGGGCGTCGGGGGAATGAGCCGAGGCCTGGCGGCGGCGCCTGCGTCCCTGGCGGCGGGCCCCCGGTGAAGCCCCTCCGGCCTCCGCGTCCCGGGCACACCCGGCGCTTGGGACCCCGAAGCCGGCGTGGCCGGGACCTCGATGGTGTGAGCGAACCCCGAGAGTCCGACTGGGCCGAGCCCCGCGGGGAGCGGCGTGAGGGCGTCTGGCGGGACTGTCCAGGGCGGCGGACGCGCCTCTCGGGGCGGCCCGGGCGTTCTCGAGCCCGCAGCGATGTCGTCGTGGCTCGGGGGCCTCGGCTCCGGCCTGGGCCAGTCCCTGGGCCAGGTGGGGGGCAGCCTGGCCTCCCTCACCGGCCAGATCTCGAACTTCACCAAGGACATGCTGATGGAGGACACGGAGGAAGTGGACGGTAACAGCTGGCGCGACGGGAGGGGGCGCCTCGGGGCCCTGGGAACGTCCGCGGGGCCCCCCGCTCGCGTCCTGGGGTCCCCGCGGGCGCGCCCCGCCTGTCTTCCCTGACCTGCCCGGGGTCGTGTTTCCCTGATGAAAACTTGTGTCCGGGGAGCGCTGCTCCTCCCCCCCGTGAATACCTGGGTGTCTCGGGCAGAGTGAAACTGCTCGTGGCTAGTCCAGTGTGTTTTCCTGTGGTTCGCCCACGCCCACCACTTGCTTGGCCTGTAGTTTGGGGGGCGGACCCGATTTTGCTCCTCTTCCTTTATACTGACACAGTTTCAAAAAGAATTATTTGCGTATGACAGTCAGGGGTTTGGATTTTTTTTTCGGGTTTTGTATCAATTGAAGTAGCTCATAATTAAAATATTTACTGACCGTGGCCCTTTCTGACTTGGGTATAGTGTTCATGAAACGTGGCTGTGGTTTTCCTATGAGTTATTTTGTATTTTTGTGTATTTTGGTGACACATTGCACCCTTCCAGCTGTGCATTCCCCCCATGTTTGACCGTATCCTTTCTTTGAGTGCCCTTCGCAACCTTAACTCATTTTTGAAGTTATTTTGTTTTACTAGTAGTCACCCAGAATACTGTGGTAATGGATAGTTACATTAATTACTGTTTTGATTTCTTGTTATTTAGGCAACTACTATTTAGATCAGGAGTCTTTTGATTTTAATCTAGGTCAGCCTTGAGAGAGATAATGGCTGGTCTTTTGGGTGATCCTTTCACAGCTTGCTTTCTTATAAATTAACAAATTATTATTTTGTTTTAAAAGCTTTTTTAATCGTGATTTTTAAAAAAAACTTTCATATATATTTGGTTGAAACAATAAGTTTAACGTGAAGATTGTACCGATAGTGGGGAGCAGTACTCCATGAATGGAAGGTTTTTCAGGTGGGACAGGTTGGGGGTGGGATTGAAAGGGATTGTTCCCGAGTTTAGAAAGGGTCAGGTCACCTAGAGGGCAGTCAAGAGGCCCTGAAGGGTTGGATGGATAACATGAAAATGACTAGTTTGTCTTTGCATCCAAGGAGGGCAGAGGGTGGAAGATTGTTGAGTCTTTCTTTGGCCCTAAGTTAGAACACTTACACCCCCAACCTGGATGTCCTGCAGGCATTGTTGTTCTCACTAAATGTGCTTCTTTATTATTAATGGTAATAGTTTCATCATCTACCCAATCTCCTAAACTAGAAATCTTTGTCAACTCTGTTTTGCCTTTTTCATTTTCTGCTTCCAGTTGGTCACCACAACTTGTTCATGCTGTGCTAGAATTGTTTCATATACTTGTTTTTCCTTCATTACCCCCTCTTCAGATCCCAATCTCTCCCGTGCGCTATTTTTCTCCCACCCCATTCCATTTTCTTTTGTGTTGCCAGTTACTTTTCTAAAAACATGTGCTTTAAACTCCCCTCTTTTGGACACCAGACATGTTTGCGTTTTCAGTGTTCTATGAACTTTGCTTGCCTGCCCCTCTCTCCCAGGTGCCATTCATAGGCATGTTCATCTGTGGGATTGCACCTGGAGTTAATGCCATGTGGAACCTTGTAAGGTGCTTACCCAGCTCCTTACGTGGAAAATCTTTCCTTTTCCTCTTTCTTCTCTACCTGCTTCTGGCCTAGAAAATAATTTTTTCCGGACCTGCTCACGTCAGGTATTTGGTGAAGCAATTCTCACTCCATGTCTGGTGGAGTTGATTGCAGGTGATCTGAGTTCTGAAAGAACTTTGAGGGCCCCGTCTGACAGCACTTTCTTTATTGAGTTATAATTGATCTTTTCCTTGGTGCTCGGTGTAGGGACTAGATTTGTCCATACATTACCGATACATAGTAGATGCTTAGTAGATGTTCAGTAAAAAGTTTATTGAGTGATTAAAAATCTGCAAAGGTTGCTTAATACTTTTATTATTTTCCCTGTGTGTTAAAATAGGACTTGCTTAACACCTTATTTAGGATTTTGTAAGTCACAATACATAAGATCAGAGTACAGTTCATTATTCATTCACCAAGTATTTATTTTGTATCTTATGCCAACAGTGAACAAGATAATACTGTTCCAAAATAATATTGCTAATACAGCTTGAAAATCATCCATATTTACATTATCCGAAAGTTGCTATTCTACTAGTCACTACTGATTTATCAGTGTTAGAAGCTTGGGCTTTTAATTCTAATATGCATAAATTGAAATTCTCATGCATTTCAATTTGTGGGATAATTGAAAAGTTGTTAAATAACTTCTGAAAAATAGTGTCTCCCTATCTGTTAAATGGAAATGATCATATTTTTCACGAGGTTGGGAGGATTAAATGAAATGAGTGTAAAATGCCTAGAACTGCACCTAGAAAATAATTAGCATTAGTAAACAATAGCTGTTTTTTTTGTTTGTTTGTTTTGCTTCCCTCATTGAAGAAGAATTTTTCGGCTTGCATTTTCCATTTATTCCTAAGAAGACAGTGACCTTTTTTTTGGTCATCAGGGGAAGAGGTCTGCTTCCACCTTTTTTCCCTCGGAAACAATTGCTGCTCTTAACAATAACCTTTCCCAACAGGCTAGATGATGTTTTGTTGTCTTCAGAGTGGCAATTAGACAGACCCTCCTGTCTGTTTTAGACAAGGTTATAAACAACCATAGGAGCAGCCCTACCTCCTGGTTTTCAAAACAAGAAGAGTGGGTTTACCACTATTATTTATTGGATACTATTGCTAATTTCTTTTGCTTTCAACTGTTATTCAGAGAAGTTATGATAAGCTGAAGTGCTGTGAGTGATATGAGTACCTGGGGCGGGGAATTCAGTATGGACCCGATTTTCTGTGGACCTGATTTTCTGCCACATCGGCAGGGCATTTGGCAGTCTGGTCTCTGATCCACCTTTCAGATGAAAATGTGTGTGTGTGGGGGGGGCTCTTTCTTATTTTAAACAAATTGTGTCCATGTTACTTAAATGTTCTTTTTTTTTTTTTTTTTAAGATTTATTTATTTATTTATACAAGCACTGGGTACAGTCAGAAGCGCGGGAGGGTGAGAGAATTCACCAGAGCCAGAGTGAGGAGCAGAGCAGGCAGAAGGACCGAAGTACACTGCCCAGGGGAGCAGTGGGTGTGGCAGGAGGGGTCTGTTGTGCCATGTGGGATCCTCCCAGGTGGCCAGGGATCAAACCGGCACTGCAGAGGCTGCGGGCAGCTTTGCAGCCCAGCACTCAACTGCTGCGCCACCCGGGAGGCCCCTTAAATGTTCTTTTATTGCAATTTCATTCTGTGTTCATAGGTCATTAACTATTGTATAGTTTTGTGAACAGAATAAATTAGAAATAAGGTTTTAAACCCCAGTTGCATACATTTCATCTAAAATTACACTGAGAAATTTATAATACTGAATTTTTCATAACAAAATTTTAATGAACATGAGGTAAAGATAGATGATCATGTTTATTTTAAAAAAGGGCAAAAAGAATGACTTACACGACAGTAAAGAACATTTGTGGTAATAGAAAGTTGTGATGAAAGTCAAGTAATGTCTTCTGGATTTTTTCTCAGATCAGCATACCATTCATTCCCAGTGAATGCATTCAATTTATTTGATAGAAGTTTTTGATTGTTTACAAATCGATATACCTTTGGGATACAGCTTCACACCTCAATAATTGCACCCTCCACCAACGTTCCAGTGCTAGGACTCTATTTCTGTCATCTCTACCTCTCCATCTGCTCCTCTTCTTTCCTTCTTTCTTCCTCCTCTTCCTTCCATTCTGGTAACCTCCATATTTTTCAGAGTCTAGAGTTATTTATGTTGTTTTTGCCAGTTTTCTTTGGTCATTTATATTTCATGAATGAGTGAAATCCAGTTACCTTTCATTTTCTGGCTTATTTCACTTAGCATACCTACTCTGTGTAAAACTCAGTAAAATATATTTCCTTAAAAATGTCTGTTTATTAATTTACATACTGGTAATCAAATATTCAATATATTCTTTCTTATTCAATGTATTCTTTCTTTCATGGCAGAATTACCTAATTCTAAGAGAAAGGAAATTGAAGCCATTCATGCAATCTTACGATCAGAGGTAAGGAAAATTAAAGACTACCATTGAATGTAGATTTTTTTCTTTTTGGAAGCCATGAAAGTTATTCTTTATTTCAGTCTTTTCTGTATGTTACATTACTTACTTTTTATCTCTTTCCCTTTATCTCTTAGATGAATTTTTTTCCCTTAGATGAAGACTATATCTACATGTTACTGCATTTTGCTATTTGATAGTCCCATCTCTGTTTCTGTGTGCTACAAGTAAGAAAACTGCCAAATGTAGAAATAAGTGGCAATACTTTGTCATTATCTAGTACCTGTATTATAATCTAACTGTACTAAATTGCAGTAGTGATTTTTAAGTATGTGAAGAGTGCAATTTTGTTTAATCTAGAACTTTTTAATTCCCTAACATTAAAAGTGTGATATTTGTATACAAAGAAGTTAATATAGGCATACCAAATTAATTTCACAGTTTTCATTTTAGTGCCTCATAGAGATGAGCTCTGGATATTGTACTTAATAGGTAACAGGAAAGCTTGGAAAGGGTTTTGAAGGAAAGCCATAAAGAAAAAGAAAAGATTTAAAGGAGGGGTCTGTTGTAAAGGACTAAGACACTCAGCTGCTTAGCCTTTGGGTGAGAATAGAGAACACTTAATGGTGTGTCTCAGCAAAGGATATTCTTAGAAGACTATAGTCAGCATGTTTTCTTCTCTACTATGTCCTTAAAAAGAGAAAAATGAATTTAAATGTAAGAAAATATGGCAGCTCCCCTGCCCACCTGTGTCTATGCAGGTGTTTCTTTTCACCAACCTCTCCCTTTGCAAAGCAGGGAGGCAGCCCTCCTCCCGAGACCGCCTGCCTGTGTCTATGCAGGCCTCTCTTAGCAGCGCTGTCCTCCTTGGGGGCTTTTTCTGCCCACTTGTATCTGTGCAGGGTATAATAAACCTGCCTTTTTGGATATAACTAAAGGTCTCTGCATTGTGGGGAAACTTGCCTGGGCAAACTTGCTATATGCCGCTGAAAGGAGAGCTCTGATAAAACCTTTCTCAGAGATAACCCAAAGACCCCACTCTCTGAACCCCACACCTCTCCAAACTGACATCAGTAACTGTTTTTCCCCCTCTAGACAGTGAACCTTTTCTGTGCACAGTACACTAAAAACTTTTTTATACCTTGTCTTCAATTCTTACCTCTAGAAAAACAAAAAGAAACTATCACAACAAGCACTTTTGAATTCCAGTCTTAGATGACCAAGGTGAGATTGTGGAAATTGAAAGAGGAACCATATTCGCGTTCTGCCTCAGCAGAAGGTGGTGACTGGGTGGCATTTAAGAAACTTTGCTCTAATTACCTGTTAGTGGGTGCAGTAGTGACAGGTGAACTGAGTAGCTCTTCCTTTATAAGGTTGAGATTGGGAATTGTTCCTATAGTCCCTACAGAAGTCTTCAAGAAAGTGCTTGTCAGTACAGCCCACCCAGAAGAAGTTAAATGGCAAAGATCTGTGGAGTGGCATTCATGTGGGTAAATTTGCCAATGTACATTCGAGGAACAATAACATAGGGTTACCCGATTAATGAATGTCTGCTTTGTATTGAGCTTGAATAGGGAGTTTGAAATTTTCTGCCCCACTGTTTATCCCATTTCTCACCACTTAGGGTGTCGCTGAACGATGGCAAGTATCATTGTAGAGTTTAGAAATATTTATTTTTGGTATAATACATCCCCAGAAGCAAGCCAACTTCCTCATTTGGTGCTTATTCCAAGTACAGCAAGCTACTCAAACACTAGAGAAAAGCCTGTTATTGGACTTCCCAAAAGCTTTGTTTTTTCAGGTGATTTTAACTATATACGATTCTTACCTTATGTCAGCACATAAACACCTAACCCTTGCTTAACTTTGCAGTAGAATTAAGTTGAGATGTGATTGAAGCCATCAGGAAACTTACTTGGTAAAATTTTATTGAAAAAGTTTTAGTATAGACAGAGAAGGCATTATGTTTTCCTGAGGAAGTTATATTTACCCACGTTGTTAATATTTGAAGCTGACCGAGTTAGGTTTCTTCAGTTGCAGGTAACAGCAACCAGACTAAGCTAATTTGAGCCTCTTTACCAAGAAAAATAGTCATCACATTTACAGTCTGGGTCCAGTGGGCTTTTAATGTTTTTTATAATAAATCATTTTACAAATAATTTACAGAAGAGGCGAGCAGACCTCTCCTGTCGCGCCCGCTGCTCCCCTCAGCAGTGTACTTCGTCGGTCTGCCTGGTCTGTTCCTCGCTCTGTCTCTGGTGAATCCTCTCACCCTCCTGCACATCTGGCCTGTACCCTGGCTCTTGTATAAATAAAATCTTTAAAAAATAAAAAAAATTTACAGAAGAATAAAATAGTAAAAAATTTAATTGCACATTTTGATAGGAACTTATGTGTAGCAAATCCAAATACTCCTTATTCCATATGTTTCTGATTTTGAAAACATTCTTAAAAATAGGTAATATTCTTTAAATGCAATTAACTGTTTATTAACTCCTATGCATGAAGTGGAATTGTAGATAGTGATTTCAGATTTCACTTATATCTCTGACAGATTTTAGCTTACCGTTATTTCTGGTTCTTCTTGACTTGTGCCATTAAAACCAATACGTTTGAAAACTTTGATGGCTCATGATTGTGTTGAAGACACACTGGCTGTCCTCTTCCCTCCATAATTACAAAGCGTATTTATTCTTAGATTTATAAATACCAAGTAGAATGACCAATCCGCGTTTTGTTTTTGTTTTTTTCATTTTTATGTCATATGTGTTTCCTTCCATTTACCTTTTATGCACTCCTGCCTTCAGTATTTGTCTGTGTATGAACTATATAAGTAAATTTGGTGTAAAAACATCACTTAGCTAATGAAAGAATAGTGTCATATACATAATCAATATTTAGCAAAGTGAGATGATTCAGGTTGTTCTCACAAAATTTTGAGATAAATTCTTTTCCTATTAAATTACTTTACTTGATGAGGCTACCCTTTCCTTTTTGTTCTTGGACCTGTAATGTTTAGTCATCATTTCTTGAGAAAATTCATCTAGGATTTTTTTTTAATATTTTATTTTTTTATTTATGCATACAAGAGCTACGGTGTAGGCCAGAGGTGCAGGGGGTTAAGAGGAGTCACCAGAGACAGAGTGGGGAGCAGAACAGGCAATTGACTGAAATAACACTGCTGAAGGGAGCAGCGGGTGAGACAGGAGAGGTCTGCTGTGCATGTGGGTTAGCTCCCTGGCCAGGCATCGAACTCGTGCTGCAATGGCTGCCGATAGCTTCATAGTGCTGAGCCTTAACCCCTTGCCCCTCCAGGGAGTTCCCTAGGATATTCTTATTTGAAGATTTTCTCTGAGATTTCACTTCTGCAATCAGTTTCATCATAATCACTAGACTTGAGTGCTGTTTTCTGTCTTGCATTATCTGAGTTGTGTAGTTGTGAAGTATTTTCCTCTGCCAGTTTTTTCTTAAAAAATAAAAATTCTGGATTTTTAACTGTGTTCATTGAAAGCAAAAGAGAGAGAGAGAGAGAGAAGAAAAGACTGCAAAGAAAGTGTCTCCAAGTTTTTTTTTTTTTTTCTTTTTCAAAGATGATGCAATACTTTAGGCAGTGCAGTGAGAAAACTGGTTATTTCACTTTGTGTTATTCTTCCTGGTGATTCTGTCAGCCTTCTGTTTTTTTCTTCTCCCTTTTTTTTTTTAGTCTTATGGGCATAATTGATTAATAATGAGAAAATAATTCTTAAGATGAAAAAAAGGCAAAATGTTGCAAGATAAAGAAAGATTATAATCCTATGAATATTAGATTTATAAAAGGGACCAATGTACCCTTAGTGCTAATCGCAAGGTAGAATTTGTTTTATTGGAAGACAAAGACAAGGCTAAGAATAATAATCCTAAACATTAATTATTAAGACTGCTCAAAAAAGAAACTCACAAACTAAAATTGTTTCCATTAGATCTCAGTGGTATAACAAGGGTTAAACCAGATGGAATAATTTAAGAATATGAGTATCTCATGGTTTCCAATGCTTAGACTTAGCCAGACTTTAGGAAGCAGCTGTAACCAGAACTGGAGTTCATCAGCATCAGGAATCCTATGTCTCATTTTTACTCCTTCCTGTTGTGTGTGTTTGTTCTTTGCATCTTTCAGACTGGCCCCCTCTGCTCCATGTTCCTCCATTTTAATAGAAAATATAGGCACTGGAAGCTGATAATGTTATGAGTCAGTCACACAAAGAGAATCTGTCCTTCGTGTGTGTTATCAGCCTTTCTGACTCATATGGCTTGGGCTGGTGGAGGGAATTTGGGGCGGGGGGGATAAAAAACTAATCAGGTATTGGCCAAATTGAAAATTTTCAAGGTCTAGTTATTAATCAGAATTAAACCAGTCACCCTTAGGTATTTTTCTGTGGAAAAGCCTAGAGTGGATTACGTTTTGACTTCACTATTTGCTGTTGCTTTGCTTGTATATTGTGTTTACAGTTCACAGAAAATCATGGTAAGATAGCCACTAGAATAGAAGGCAGTTAGTTGTATGCCCCTTGATCGTGTTTCTTATTAATGATTCTTCCAGGTAAGTAATCAGGGTCTACGTTAAATTTCTGGAGAAAGACTCCCAAACTAGGATTTGTATGTGTTGTGATTTTTCCTTTGATTTCTATTAATTTTCCCTGGAAATTGATATAATCTTCCTGCATCATAATTTTCACATCTGCTGATATAAGAAATTAGTAGTATCTAAGAATCCCAGAATCTAAGAAGCAAACAGTTGACGTCCTCAGAGTTAAATACTCGCCCTCTGGCAGGGGCTTTCCTCCTCAGCCTTCGTCTCCGTGTGTTTGTAGATGTGCTAGTAATTCTTAGTCAGTTTTTGTCTTTAATTTAATTTGTAAGTTCGTTTTTGCAGCAAATTTTTGTGTCCATTTTTCTTGCTCCGTTATGTCCTGTTCAAATGTCAAGATAGTTAAATATTTAGACACATCAGATTTTAAGTATTTTTTCATATTTTCCAGCATTTCAAAAAACTGATGTCTAGAATTTATTGAATTATGTATCTTATGTACTTCTAATAGTATGGCTTTGAAATTATGTATGATGGTTTCGAGCAGTGGTTTTAAAATTGGCTTTTTCAGAGGCTTCTTAGGAGCCGGAGAGATAGGCTGTCACAAAATTCAACTCATTGGCTTCCTGCCTGTACGTCAGCCAGAAGTCTTTTTTTAGAAAGACTTCTTTTAAAAAGTTCTGTTTTGGGAAAAAATAAAAGTTAATACTTGTAATCTAGTTGTTTGATAAATTTATCATCTACTACATGCTCGACTCGGTATACAGAAATAGGGCAACCTTTCATCAGTGACTTTTTCTTAGCAGAAAATCAAACTTAGCAAGACATACTTTTTATTTTTTACTCTTGTTCAATGTTATGTATAATCTCTAAAACACACTATTTGCACTTGCAACTTTAACTGAAAGTATATTTTAAAAGTCACCTTTCTGAGAGCTTTTTGTGTGCAGCAATGTTTTTCATGATGTCATGCACACAACTGTTGCTAACTTGTTTTAACTTGTTAAAAATCCTGTTTCCTTTGCTTGTAGAATGAAAGACTTAAAAAACTTTGTACCGATCTAGAAGAAAAGCATGAAGCATCAGAGCTTCAAATAAAGCAGCAATCTACAAGTTACCGAAATGAATTACAACAGAAAGAGGTAAAGGTTATAACAGTTATTTCAGTGTAGCTTATTTAGCAAGGTTTTATACAATAAAGAGTTGTATAAATTAAATTTAGATCCATAAAATTATTGAAAGTGTGTTGAAGTTAATAATTTCCAACTCATGTTGTGTCCACCAATTTAATAATTCTGTTAGCTTTCCTTTTGATACTGTATAGACTTAACTGGTAGATTTTTTTCCTACGTTATAAAAGAAGAAAGGTCTTTATAAACTATCAGGTGTCTGTTGCTTATAATTTCTGATTTTATGATTTTTTTATCTATTAAAATTGTTTTGAATAGTATGATCTTCATTATTGCCATTTTCCTTTTTTAAGAGATGGTTGTAACTGTAGGTATAAAATGTGTCTTACTGACATTTAATTTATTTTCCGTAGAAAAAGAATATTACATATATTGCAATTCACTTATACTGTATTATTTTTCCTTTCAGTTTGATTGAAATAGTTCTTTTGGAATTGGTTTTATCCCTTTTTTTTAAGTTTTGGTAGTAAATAGATTTTAAGCAGTGTTATGAAACCTTAAAATACAGACTGTATCTCCATATCTGCGTTGCAAATACTACTTAATTGAGCCATTCTTGTTTTATTATTCAAATTTAGTTGTTCAGTTATTGATGAAGTGTTCTCTTGTCTCATAACTTTATATTTCGGCTTTTAAAATTTAGAGGCATTGATTTCTAGTTCCTTTAGTGACATACTGAAATGAAAAATAAAAGTGAACCACTTTAAAGATAAATGTAAACATTTAGAGTTTACATTTCTAATCTGTTAGGATTGCTTTCATAAAATTAATTGCTGCAAAAATTAAATTAATATAAAAAAAGCAGTTACAAAGTCAAACTAAACAGCCATTTAAAAAATTTCAACAGATGTAAAATTACTGTCAATTGGCTTTAAAAATTTTTAAGTTCTTTGAAATCCTGTACTTATTTTGTCATGAACAGGTAGCAAGCATTTTTGACATCAGTTTGTGGCCACACTTTGAGCATCTGAATAAATATTACAGTAGTGCAATAGTTCTCATCCAGGGGCTTATAGCTGTTTCATATAATGCACATGCTTCTGTTCTCTAGGATATTCTGATGTAGTGTATTGGGAAGGCATGCTGGCATTTGTATTTTTCCAGCAAACGCCATTGGTGATTCTCATGCTTACACCCCAGCTGAAAACACTGCTGTGGAAAATTTTGCCATTTTATTTCCACTTAACTATTGCTATTAGAGGACAAGTTAAATATTCAAGTTTAGAAGTGTCTCCTTGTATTGAAGCTTGCAGTTGGATAGCTCTACAACTTGATGTAAATGTTGTGTATAACGAGAACATCCTTTGTTTTATAGCTACAGTTTTGAAAACTGTGAATCACAGTACTTTTTATTAGAATGAAGAATAATATACAGTATATTTTAGATCTGCCATTTATAGTATTTGCTGCCCATTGTTGAATTGAGAAATTTTCAAAGATGTAACTTATTTGATTTGGGAAAATGAATCTACAATATTATACTGACTATATCTCCTGTAGAGAAGGGACTCTGATAAGAAATTATTGGGGATTTTGACATAAATGTGTTTAATTTTTGTTTATTCAGTTGCTTGACTTTATACATGTAGAAATATCATTACTTCTTAGCAGTCTCTCCAGTATCAAATTCTCCTCAGTTGTGGCAGGATGTCTTCTGAAGGCCCTGCACACTTATTTCAGTTTTTTGTAGCTTTATCTTATGTTTTGAATAATCTCTCACTGGGAATCAGTGTGGCATCATGGCAAGTCATAAATTTAGGATTAGGATGTTGCCAAACTTCAGTCAAAACAGTTCTCAGGGTTTCAAGGCCTTTTACTGTTCTGAGTAAATCAAATTTTTATGACCCCTCTTTGCCAACGCCTCTTATAATACACAACTTCCTTTCAAGGTTCATGGACTAATAACCAATCTTACTTGTTATCTGAAAAGGTTGAATTAATAAATTAAGGCACTTTTCCAGCTGTGTTTGTGTAGTCCACTACAAAGTGACTCATGGTGCATTTTAAGCCTAAATCAAGCCAAAATCCATTGCATGAGACTCTTCCAGTAGACGGTGTTCTAAGGAAACTTCCAGTGCATAGACTGACACAACTTTCATTTTCTTAAGATTTAAAATTTGATAATCAGAAACAGAAACCTAGGAAATTGTCTAGATACCTTGTACACAAAAGATAGTAAACCTATGCCTAACTGAGAAATTACTTGCCTTAATTAATATATGTATGAAATTCTGATCTTTAAGCTATTTGAAGTATTGTCTTTATTTTAATTATGGTAATCTTGTTTTTTAAATAAAAATATTATGATTAGTTTTGAAGATAGGAAGACATGGATCAGTTTATAGAGTACCATCATAGGATAACCTTAAGCAAATTATTATAATTATACATGAATGTATAAAAAGGTTATTTTATTTAAGTGCCTTCTCTGAAATGTGGATTATAAATATACAGGTAGAAATCAGCCATCTTAAAGCAAGACAGATTGCACTACAGGATCAATTACTGAAGCTGCAGTCAGCTACTCAGTCAGTAAATTCAGGGGCGAGCAGCATGCCAGCAACCACCACATCATCTTCATTCGGTTATGGTATGAGTCATCACACATCAGCTTTCCACGAGGATGACATGGACTTTGGTGATGTAATCTCGTCACAACAAGAAATAAACAGATTATCAAATGAAGTTTCAAGACTTGAGTCTGAAGTTGGTCATTGGAGGCATATTGCTCAGGTAAAATTCTCACGAGCGAATAAAATTATTGGTGCTGTGTGTAGAAAGAACCTTGGACTAGGACATGGGAAACCTGCATTCTGATTCCGCCACTGACTGTCTTCAGTGACTTGGGTCAGGTCATCTTTCTCAGACTCAGGTTCCACTGCTGTAGGTTACTTGGGAAATTTTTTCAAGAGTATAAAGCAACAGAGTCACATTTTTTTTTTTTTTAAATAGAGGCATGTTTATTTATTTATTTATTTGTTTGTTTGTTTTGTTTATACATGCACTGGGTACAGTCAGAAGCGCGGGAGGGTGAGAGAATTCACCAGAGCCAGAGCAGGGAGCAGAGCAGGCAGAAGGACCGAAGTACACTGCTGAGGGGAGCAGCGGGCGGCAGGAGAGGTCTGCGCGCCATGTGGGACCCTCCTCAGGTGGCTGGGGAGCAGCCGGGGATCGAACCGGCACCACAGAGGTCACCGGCAGCTTCGCAACCCAGCGCTCAACCACTGCGCCACCGGGGAGGCCCCTGGAGTCACATTTTAAAATAAAATAAAATTTACATTTTAAAATAAAATTAAAGTGATAAGTACTTAAAGGCAATAAAAATGGGTTGCTGTGGTTGAACTAGCATCTTTTTCCAGAGTCTTGGCAGCTTCTCTGATAGCAACACCTGTGCTGCAAGGCAATAGATTTGAAATCTCTTATTAGATGTTGTTGTTTCCTGTTTGTATTAGTTACATGTAAAACGAAAACCTGAATTCATTATTTTAAAATACATTAAAGAAGCTGTTTTAGGGCCTCCCCGGTGGCGCAGAGGTTGAGCGCTGGGTTGCGAAGCTGTCCGTCAGCCTCTGCAGCGCCGGTTTGATCCCCGGCTGCTCCCCGGCCACTGGAGGAGGGTCCCACATGGCGCGCAGACCTCTCCTGCCGCCCGCTGCTCCCCTCAGCAGTGTACTTCGGTCCTTCTGCCTGCTCTGCTTCCTGCTCTGGCTCTGGTGAATTCTCTCACCTTCCTACGCTTCTGACTGTACCCAGTGCTTGCATGAATGTATGTATAAATCAATCAATCAATAAATAAATCTTTAAAAAAAAAAAAGAAGCTGTTTTATGTTGTTTCTCCTGCTTGAGAAATTAAATTCTTGATATTTTTAGCTTTAAAAATTACTCCAAGGAACTTTTTTTTACTTAAAGATTTATTTATTTATGCATACAAGAACTGGGGTCAGGCCAGAGGTGCAGGGGGTGAGAGGATTCACCAGAGACAGAGTGGGGAACAGAACAGGCAGACTGACTGAAATACACTGCTGAGTGGAGTAGTGGGCGAGACAGAAGAGGTCTGCTGCGCCATGTGGGTCACCCCCCTGGCCAGGGATTGAACTTGGCCTACTGTGGCTGCAAATAGCTTAATAGTGCTGTGCCTTAACCCCTTGTACCACCAGGGAGGTCCAGGAACCATTTTTATTTATTTATTTATACGAGCACTGGGTACATTCAGAAGCATGGGAGGGTGAGAGAATTCACCAGAGCCAGAGCAGGGACCAGAACAGGCAGACTGATGAAATACACTCCTGAGGGGAGCAGCGGGTGAGGCAGGAGAGGTCTGCGTGCCCTGTGGGACCCTCGCCTGCGGCCAGGGATCGAACCGGCGCTGCAGAGGCTACGGGCAGCTTCGCAGCCCAGCGCTCAACTGCTGCACCACCAGGGGAGGCCCCAGGAACCATTTTTTGTCTCAAACTATTGAGGTTGTCCTGAGACCTGAGAGCCAAAATAAATCAGAACACTGTTCATTTGTATTTAATTTCTATCTTTTCAGTCTAGTTATGAAGGAAAAATCCTCCCAATTAAAATTATCTTCTTGCTTCTCAAATTTTAGAGATTACCAATACCCAAAATAAATCTTGGAATGATCTGTTTGTCAGTCTTATCTTTAAAAGTGGTAGATTTTAGGACCACTGCAGCAGATAGCTTGATGGTGCAGCAGACTTCTCCAGTCTGCACGCTGTTCCCCTTAGCGGTATATTTCAGTAAAATCCACCTCTATCTCTGGTGAATCCTCCCACCATCCACACCTCTGGCCTACATATCAGCTCTTCTATTAAAGTGGTAGGTTTTATACTTTCCATGTGTAAGAATAACTTGGGGATCTTGATAATATTGTTGATTCATTGCCCTAATTTAGGAGAATAGGAATTCATAGTCTTATTTTAGGGTCTTAAAACTGCATTCAGGGCCTCCCTAGTGGCGCAGCAGGTTGAGCTCAGCACTATGAAGCTGTCTGCAGCCTCTGCAGCGCGGGTTCAATTCCTGGCCTGGCCAGGGAGAAACCCACATGGCATGGCAGACCTCTCCTGCCTCACCCACTGTGCTCCTCAGCAGTGTATTCAGTCAATCTGCCTGTTCTGCTCCCTGCTCTGTCTCTGGTGAATTCTCTCACCCTCCTGTGCCTCTGACCTGTACCCCAGTTCTTGTATAAATAAATGTTCAAAAAAAAAACTTAAAAAAAACCAAAAACTGCATTCAAACAAATGCTCCAGATGGTTTTGATAACCTGAGGAACACATTTTTTTTTTTTTTAAGGTATTTATTTATACAAGAACCGGGGTATAGGCCAAATGCGCGGGAGGGTGAGAGGATTCACCAGAGACAGAGCGGGGAACTAAACAGGCAGACTGACGAAATACACTGCTGAGGGGAGCAGCAGGCGGGACAGGAGAGGTCTGCTGCGCCATATGGCACCCTCCCCATATGGGACCCTGCCGGCCGGCCAGGATCAAGCTGACACTGCAGAGGCTGCAGATAGCTTCACGGCGTGGCGCTCAACCGCCTGCGCCACTAGGGGAGGCCCCTCAGGAACTCATTTTAAGAAATGTTACTGATGATAAGATTTCACAGAGAAGAGATGGATTTTTGGTATGTGTACCTTAGTATATCTTGAATACACTATATGATAGACCTGTACTCAGACAGAATGGTGAAAAAGAATAATTGGGACTTTCCAGGGGACTTAATTTTCTAGCAAAACATAATGAAAATTAGTATTTTTATTATTCTTTACAAGATATTTCCATGTACTATTCCATTATATATTAAATTATCCTTTATGAGATAATTATTACATCTATTTTACAAATAAACAAAGATTAATGTTCCCCTTGTAACTAACAGTGATTAAGTTGTGATTTAAACATGTGTTTCTGACTCTAAATCATGTATTTTTTCCATTATGACGTGTTCCTTTTTTCATTCAAAGAGTAGCTTTTGGTTCCTTAACATGGTATAACAAATGTTAATAAAGATGAACAAACACTATATAACTTTGCATGAGAAGAGAATAATCCAAAAGTTCTATTGTCAGCCCAAAGGTTATTCTGTAATAGGGTAGTGCTCTTCCGGGTACAGTCATTTAAAAATATTTTTAATGGGTTATTATTATCATTAACATTGGGTAACTTTCCATTTTAGGAACTTCCTTTTAGGAAGCTACTAAATTTTCATCTTGCTAAGCTGCATAGAATATTCTATGGTCTTTTCCTTCTTAACCTTGGTTACTTTGTATAAGTTGTCTCCCCAATTAGTTAGCAAATTCTTGAATAACGTGTTTTACTTATTGTGTATTACTCATTATTTGATGATTTCTTTAAGAAGTGTTTGGCAGACTTCAATCAGAATTTGGGAAATGCCCCCTTTTTAAAAGTATTTTTTAATAAGATTAGTTTGTGACTTTCCCTTTTATAAGAAAATCAATATAATTGTCAAATTGTTTTTCTCATCTAGACTTCTAAAGCACAAGGATCAAATAACTCTGATCAAAGTGAAATCTACAAACTGCAAAATATCATTAAGGTGAGGTAGATTGTTGGAACTGTGGCTATTATACATCTAAACTGTGGCTATTGTACATCTTACTTATTAAAAGTAAAAGCCTAGGGGCCTGCCTGATGGCGCAGGCATTGAAGACACAGCGCTATCAAGCTATCTCCAGCCACTGCAGCACGAGTTCCATCCCAGCCAGCCAGGGAGCTACCCACATGGCGCAACAGACCTCTTCTATCTCCCCCACGGCTCCACTCAGCAGCATATTTCAGTAGATCCGCCTGTTCAGTTCCCCACTGTGTCTCTGGCGAAACCTCTTACACCTCAGGCTTACACCCCAGTTCTTGTATGCATAAATAAATAAATTTTTAAAAAAATGAAAGTATAAGCCTAAATTAAAGCCTGTTACTAAAGTAATCATACAGGTTATGGCATTTGTTTCTTTTAATATTTTCTTTATTATATGTTAAAATAGCTCTTTCCAAAGTCATTTGGTTTTTTGTTTTTTTTTTAAGATTTATTTATTTATACAAGAACCGGGGTACAGGCCAGATGCGCGGGAGGTTGAGAGGATTCACCAGAGAGCAGAGCGGGGAACAGAACAGGCAGACTGACGAAATACACTGCTGAGGGGAGCAGCGGGCGAGACAGGAGAGGTCTGCTGCGCCATGTGGGACCCTCACCGGCTGGCCAGGATCAAACCGGTGCTGCGGAGGCTCCGGACAGCTTCACAGCGCTGCACTCAACTGCCTGCACCACCAGGGGAGGCCTCAAAGTCATTTGGTTTTGAGCATTTTTTCCTCAGGTAGTTTATAGTACATAAGTCTCTTACTATATTTTGTCTTTGTCTACTATATCATTATTAAAACTGATTCCCAGATTGTTGAAGTTTCAAGATTTAGCTTTAAAGGATATTGACAAAATAAAACGGTAGTATCATTCTTTGTAAATAATTTTAGTGGTGAAATTTTGGTAGTTTGTGTCAATTATTTCAAGAAAAGTCTTACATATATTTATTGTGGCAGTGAATTGTTTTTAGGGTGTAAATTATTATCAGTTGTAGAATTTTTAGTTTTTGGATTTATAATTATATACGGATTTAGTGTGGGTGGGTTCCTGAGTCTGACCCGAATTTGAATTACTGACTCTGCTGTTTACCAGCTCTGCCACACTGGACAATTAGTTAACTTTTCCTAGTTCCCTTTTATCATTAGTAAAGTAGATACTACCATAATATCTCCCTGGATTGTTTCGAGGTTTCTCTGTAAAGCTGCTAGCCAAGTGGTGATATGTAGGATTAAAGAATAACTTCACTTGTGTTCTCAGGAAATAGGGCTAATTTATAGATTAGAATGTTTGTTTATAAGCAACAAAAACCATCTCTGACTAGGTAAAGCACAGGACAGACACAAGCTAATCTGTCCATCAGGAAGGACAGGAATGGGAGCAACGTCAGGGATCTTGGTAGGAGGATACCGGGGACAGACTTTTCAGGATGCAGCTCTCGTAATGCTTTTGGTCCAGCCAGTTGCCCTCTTTGAGGAACTTGGCTCAAGATCCATGAGTGAAACTGGTGTTGTCAATTTGGTTGATGATTTGGGATTTCAATCAAGACTGGTGAAAAGAAAGATCGAGGGAGGGCATAAGGGTAATAAGATAAACACATAGCCTCACACAGATAATTGGTGGAATAGCAGGAGTAGTTCATGGTCAGAAATGTTAAGGAAAAAAGATAACTTTTGCTCAAACTTTTGTTCATTTTTTCTTGTTGGTGTTCCGTCATTAAAAGTAGAAAGACTTTTTAAGGCCCAAGAAAAGAAAGAGTGAATGGAATCTTCCAGAATAGTCCAAATTTGGGGGCCTGTGTTTAAATTTTCTCTGGACTTAACAGGTTCAGGGAATTGTTTTTAATAATGTAAAATTTTGAACAACGAAATTGCTTAGGTAAATTTATTGATTATAAATGTGGTTAACTTTGTTTTTATTTTTCAAGGAGCTTAAACAGACTCGAAGCCAGGAAATCGATGACCATCAACATGAAATGTCAGTATTGCAGAATGCACAGCAACAGAAACTGACAGAAATAAGCCGTCGGCATCGAGAAGAGTTACGGGACTATGAAGAAAGAATTGAAGAATTGGAAAATCTGTTACAGAAAGGTTATTGGTGTTTAATAAATTTGAAACATTAGATTACATAATTAAACACAGATGTAGCACTGCAAGACCGGGACCCTGATATAAATTCGTACTAATTGTTTTGCTCATCTGCCAGATTGTGCAGTGGCAGCATTGTTGCCAAGAGTCTACAGAAATGGAAAGGTCCTATTGCCTTTGTGATAAATAATTATAATACATAGATTTCTTTGCATTGTTTGGTATATTTTCACTTTCTTTCAAACTCAGCTACATAGGCTTTTTTGTCGTTGATGTCTTTCCTCGAGTGTTTTAAAGTACTTTATTATAGAAAAAGTTTTTATAGATTTTTTTTTTTTTAGTGCAATTTTAGGTTTATAACAAAATTGAGAAAGAGATAAAATGATTTTACCTATACATGTCCTTCCTTTTCCTGCCCTCCTAACATGCATAGCCTCCCCACGACCAACATCACTCACCAGAATAGTACATTTTTGGCCAAGAATGAACTTACACTGACATATGATCACCATTCTTGCCGTCATCCAGCCTCTGGGTTTAGACAAATGTTACATATCCATCACTATGATAGCTCACAAAGTATGTCTGCCTTCAACCACTCATGTTTTTATTGTCTTCCGCTTTATTTTTTTCCAGAATGTTATGTAGTTGGAACCATAGAGTTTTGTGACCTTTTCATATTGGTTTCTCTCCCTTACTAGCGTGCTTCTCAGGCTGCGCCCTATCTTTCTGTGGCTTCATAATGCATTTCCTTTCAGCTTTGAATAGTAGTTCCCAGTGTAGATGTGAGACAGTTTACCCACTGACCTGCTGAAGGACATCTTGGTTGCTTCTAAGTTTTGGGTATTATGAATGAAACTGCTATTAACATTGTTGTTCACGTTTTTGCATGGATTTTAAATTTTATCTCCTTTGGGTAAGTATCAAGGAATGCTGTGATTGCTGGATCACATGATAAAGAGTATGTTTAGTCTTATGAGAAGCCACTCAACTGTCTTCCAACATGACTGCCATTTAGCATTCCCACCAGCAGTGAATGAGAGTTCTGTTCTCTGTCCTTACCAGCATTGGATGGTATTAGTGTCCCACTACTCATAGGCGTGTGGTGTTAGGTATCATTTTTATTGTAACTTTTCTTTGTAAGCTTTTCAAGTTCTGAAGTCTGTTGAATCTTTCATTGCATATAGCATGCTATTTTCATCTTTTGGTGCTTGACATTTGATTTTCTTGATTTTATGTTTATATTCTTCTAGGTGACTCGGAATTTACAGTAACTGATCACTCTAAAATCCATGAGATGCAAAATACTATTCATGTTCTACAAACTGAAAAAGTTGAATCTACAAAGAAAGTTGGAGAACTTGAGGATAAAATAAAAGACATAAGTAAAGAGTTATCTTCTGCAGAAAATGACAGAGAGGTTTTGAGGAAGGAACAAGACCGACTAAATGTGGAAAACAGACACATGATTGAGGAATGTACACGCTTGAAACTGGAATGTAGCAAATTGCAGACTTATGCCATGAAGCACAGTGACGCTGTGGCAGAAGGGGAAGGCGTTCTTCCTCAGAGGGCATCAATAGAAGAAGAGCTGTTCAGACTGCAGCAAGCATTGTCTGGTATGAAATGTTTGGACCTTCTTACTGATTGGTGCTTCATAGCATTCTAGCTGTTTTTAAGGGAAAAACCTTTGGCTAATGTGGAAATGGAGTATTCATGGAAATGACTGTGTGGAATTTGAATGCAATTATTTGTTTTAAATTTAGTTCCCTAATGAATAGAGCACAAATAGGAATTTTCTACTAGAATAGGTTGTGTTAGCTAAGAGTCTCTGAACTCCCTCATCTTTTAGGTATTTACATAGAACTCAATTGATTTTTGGAGACTATATAGACATCTGAGAACTGTTTACGTAGACATTTCTTGGGAGGAGTAATGTATGTATTTCTGTTAGTCTATACAGAACCAAATAATTCCTTTAACTCTGATGGGCTCAGGCCCTCCAGTTAGGGACTGTAGCCTAGCTTCTTTAAAAATTTGTATTACTTTTAGAAATGACCTCCTATATCTAAACAAAGACCTGGGAGATGTAAGGCCATTTTCCATGCTTACAATGGTATTGAATTACCAAACCAATATTCTCTGTTACAAAAAACAAATATAAACGATATAGACCAGATAGCAATATTCATTTATGTGGGGAAAACATAATGGGAGCTCTTCACTTAAAAAGGTGCATTTTATTTTATGCTCTGTCTACTTCTTACAATATAAGCTTTTACTTTATGAATTTGTTTTTGTTCCTGCTGTGGAGGTTACCAGCCCTTGTGTGAGTTTGTGACAAATCCCTCCCTCCCTCCCTGCTTTCTGTATTCCTCTGGTGGTGATTTATCTTGAGCTCCTGACCTAATGGGCAACTCTATATAAATTCAAGTTAAACGTAGATTCAAAGTAAGGTCAGCATAACCTCCTCTTCCTTTGTCTACCTTGGTGATGGGTAGCATTTACCAGTCTCCTCCCAAATATTTGAAGTTTATGTCCTATAGGTTCTGTTAACTTAGCTTCTCTCCAGGTCAGTGATACTGCAGCGTCATATCCTCGAGGAACTCGGGTTGTCAGGGGTGCCACGGTCCTGGGAGCTGACGTGCAGGCAGAGGGAACACAGTGGTGGAATTCTAGACTTCTTTTTCATTTGACTTCAGTCCAAGTAGCTCTGCTCTTTTCAAAATCATTTTGTCTATTCAACATACTGGGTGATCTATTTGAGTTTTATTTCCTTGAATAACCTGTGCTTTTCCCTTTTTTCCATATCTGCTGCCATTGAATAATTTCAGACTATTGTAATCTCTTTTTGTCTGGTTAACTATGGCACATCTCTTAGGGGAACAGAATAGTGTAGTGGTAAAGAACTTGGCTGAGATGCAACCCATTTGCATCACTGGTTAGCTGACCTGAGTTAAGTTGGCTAACATCTCTATGCTTTGGGTTTGTTTTTTCAAAGATTTTTTAAAATTTATTTTTGCATGGAAGAACCGGGGTGCAGGCCAGAGGTGCGGGGGGTGAGAGGATCCACCAGAGACAGAGTGGGGAGCAGAACAGGCAGATCTACTGAAATCCACTGCTGAGGGGAGCAGCGGGGGGACAGGAAAGATCTGCTGCACCATGTGTGGGTCAGCTTCCTGGCCGGGCATTGAACTCAGGTGGTTGTCGTGAGACTGAAGTCTAGGCCACCAGAGAGGCCTTGCTTTGGGGTTTTTTTATCTGCGTGGTTGGGATAATACTATCTTCATAGTTGTAGCATTTTTTTTTTAAAGATTTTATTTATTCATAGAAGAGCTGGGGTGTAGGTCAGAAGTGTGGGTGGTGAGAGGATTCACCAGAGCTGGAAGTGGTTTTACTGAAATGCAGCGGGCGAGACAGGAGAGGTCCCTGTGCCATATGTGGTTTAGCTTCCTGGCCAGGGATCAGACTCAGGCTGGCGTGGTGATAGCGTTGATAGCCACCATGGAGGCCCCATTGTTGTAGCATTAATGAGAATTTTTAGCAGCAAATTTTTTTTTCAGTCACTGGCTGAGGACTTTTGTTTTTTCTTTTTTAGACACTGGACAAAATTTTCTTTAGAGAAGTGTCTATCCCATAGTGAGCTTCATGAAAGTGTTAGTTATGTTATCCTCTTGTCTCCAAGATTCCTTTTTCAATAATTGTTTTCATTCTGCTTGCCAAAATAGTTTTTCACTTCCCACCTTTTACTATTTTGTGACTGCCTGTGAACTTGCAGGATACCATCTACACTTCATAGTGAGACATGATAGGTCTTTCTTGATCTGGTCCCCGTTCAGCTTCAGTGAATTTGCCTTAACTCTGTTGTCTTTGCATTTGCGTATTCTCTGAGGAGTGTCATGTTTGTTTCAGCTGACATTTAGTACATTAAAATTCAGTGCAGGTGTTACATCCAGTGGGAGGTACCAAGTGCTGCAGCGTTTCAGCCCACTTGGGTCCTCTTCCCTGCCCAGTGTGGTTTAGGTGCTGGCCCTTTTTGCTCTGGTAAGCATCCGTGCTCCTGGTGTCACACCTACGTGATCACTGTTTACTTGTCTTCTCCACTGAAGTAAGGTCCTTGAGACTAAGCAAGGACTGTATTTTTCTAACTTACAGTCTAGCAGCTGACCTCATAGTAAATGCTCAATATTTTCTGAATGAATGTTGAATGAATTCTTTCAACTGAACCTGCGGTATTCTGTCTTTGTGCTTTTCTAGAATCATTTCTATTTGTAGATCTGTAATGCCAGATTAAATGGTCTTTTTATTAGTGGTGATGTCTAGGTCACTTTAGATAATTGTGAGATTATTGTATTGTGGTGTCAATATACAGTTCTTCCTTTTAACCTTTCCCCCCTATTTTTAGTCGTTATCCTGTTTCCTACTACACAAACAAAAGAACTGATTTGGAAACAGAGTAGTTGTATTTTTATCAAAGCAGTAACCTATATCTAGAGTATAGTAATAATTCTTTCTTACACTTTTCCGGAGAACTGAATTTTAACATAGTTTCTGACACTTCTATTATGATTTCTTTAGTATAGGCAAAATGGGAATATGAGATAAAAGAAAAATACATTTCACTAAGAACTGTTTGGACCTGCTAATTATGCTTATGTTTTAATTGAGTTTCATTTCTGAGTGTACTATAGGAGGAAATAAGTTATTTTAAGAAATTTTAATGTCAGATTAATTTGTTTTTACAGATGCTGAAAATGAAATAATGAGATTGAGTAATTTAAACCAGGTAAACTCATTTTAAGAGAGAAAACTTTTGGCATCGGTTTACCAAGAAAAAAAATATTTTGACTTTTATGGTTGCTGCTTTTGTGATTTTATTTTATGCAAATTCAGATGAATTTATTGTAGGAACTGTCATCTCAGTAATTTATTTTTACTAATTAGTAACTTTTTTGCATAATAAACTGACATAATTTTAAAAGTTACATAATTAAAATATGCAAGTATCTCATTTTATATTCATTTGACAAATATTATATATAGAGACAGTGGAAGCAGATCTTCTACCCAAGTGAGGATTTGATTTCCCTTAAGGAATTTGGGAAGTTGTTTCTTTTTTTGTATGATTACAGGTTATTTTGTAAATATATGTTTCAAATATATTAAAGAAACCATCTAGAAAATACCTATACATCCAGTGGTTGTCTTTAGACTGTTGAGTGTTGAATGCTTAAAATTCTTAGATATCGTTAAAGAAATACTGAGTAGAAATGCACAGTTGAAGTTTCCCTGCTCTTACTGTAAACTTGAAATTTCTTGTTCTCTGAAAACACTTTTTTAACATTTTTGTAGGGTAACAATCTCGCTGAAGACAATCTGAAACTTAAAATGCATGTTCAAGTTTTAGAAAATGAGAATTCATTATTAAGTCAAGAAAAGGTGGGTGCAATAAAGTGGGGGCATACTTAAAATAATTTTAGAGTACCACTAAGGACCAGTTTATATCAAAATGGAGTGTTAAGTTCTTCAAAGTCCAGAGTTAGAAGTGATCTCATCGCTGTCCACTAGGCCAGGTTGAAGTTCCTGGGCAAGGTTCAGAGTATGAGAGGCTGGCCAGAGTTTACATTCAGAGATAAGCCAGTAGGCATGCAGATACAGGCAGCTCAGATTTAGTTTCAGATGAAGTTCTGACAGCGGTAGTGTGTTTGACAGGTGAGGTCTGTGGTAGTGAATGCAGTAACCGTATGTATACCCCAGCAACTGTAACCTGCCCCAGAATGTGTCTGTTATGAACAGGAGTTTCTTAGTGGTGATTGGTAAAGAGGGGCATTCTTTGTGATAGAAACATGAGGTCTTTTTGTGTCTATCTGTGATGTTGAGTATGGGGAAAAGTGCTTTTGCTTGTGCCACCTGGGAGTAAATCCTTGGCTCAGGCAGGAGGTGCTTAGATAAGGCTTAGTTTTAAGCTGGGTTGTCTCAACTCAGTTGAAAGCCTTACCTTTTTTTTAAGGTAACACATATATCATTTACTGACCTATGTATCAGTAATACGTGCTGAAAATACAGTATGAAATGAGAACATCACTATTCATTGGCCTTTTTCCCAGTGGCACTCTCTCTTACCAATTTCTTGTGTATCCTTCCAGGCTATATTCTTGTATGCATGATTATTAGATAAGTAGTTTTTGTAAAAGCACAAGTATTAATAAACTATACTCTGTACACTGTTCATGTATAACTTAATATTTTCAACATCTTTCTGTATCAGTCTGCAGACAGTGTTTCTCAAATAAATGCTATTGACATTTTAGGTGGGAAAATTCTTGGTTATGTGCACTGTCCTATGCATTGTAGAATCCTTGCTCCCTCTCTACCCATTAAAAACCTACCCACTAAAAGTATTGTCTTCCAGTCATTTCTTCCTTTTTTTTTTTTTTTTTTTTTAAATGCAGATTTCCTCTGTTCCCATAGCATTCCCATTGCTCTTTCAGTTACACATTTCTCTAACTGGCCTAGCTCTAATTTGCAAATATTTGATAGTGCCCTTCTCCTTCTACTTTTGGATTCTGCAGCTATCCCTAATAGCTGCTTTCTCTTGTCTTTGATATTAAGTAATCCATTGTAACTTTTTCTTGAATTATGTCTGCTGTGGGTTCATTCACTGGTTAAGAATGCCAAAAGTTCCTGTAAAGCTCTGTCTTCTTAAGATCCACCTGCCAAAAAATGTTTATGGCTCTCCTGGTGGAACAGATAACTCTAGAAAGATGCAAGAGAGTCCTATTTCTGCATTTCAGTTATAGTTCAGAATAAGTTTTTGAATTGGAAGGGAAGAGGAATGAGAATTTTGAGACAGATATTCTAGTACTGTTTCCATTGGTATCAGTTGTAAGGTATATGTTAGACTATTTGTAGAATGCTGAGACTCTTTAAAGTAGAATGCATAGAAGTTTGATTTTTAAAAATCCTATCAATGAAAAAAAGCTTTACAGTAATATAGTTTCACAAACATTATGAGGTTGAAATAATTTTGAAGAATAGGGAACTGTCCCACTTCTGGAATTTTGGAAGAAAACTGTTGTTAAATACCAGTAAGATAAAACATGATGTATTTTTAAAAATCATGTGTAAACATAGCTCTAGGAATGTTAGGTTTTAGAGAAGGAAACTGAGCCTGTATTTAGGTTAGAAAGTTAAGGAAAGAAGGGAGGGTATTTTTTTGGGTCAAGAAAAGGTTTCACATTCTGATAGCCGCTTGTAGTAAGGGAAATTTCTTTAATGAGGGAACAAGAGTCTTTTGTTTTATTTGGTTAAAATTTAGAGTGAATGGGTATTATTAGCTTTTTGCATTTTTATTTCGTCTGTGACTGTTGGTGACTGGATGTTAAGGACTGGAAATGAAGAGAACCAAAAGACTTGGAATGTTTTGAAAAGTGTGGGGGAAGGGAAGGAGGAGACAGGGCAGAGGCAGTGGGAGCGGGAAGGCTTCAGAGGGAATGGTTTTTGTATAAAGAAGGAATTGGAGTTGTGAGGGCCAGCTCAGAGTCATTGTGGCATCCTGTCTGTTACACAAATGCTCTGCCTGAAGCTGCAAATAAAGTTTAATATGAATGAAGGTTGTGGTTTGTTGAATTTTACATATCCGTGCTGAGATATTAATTCAGTGTTTCCAATATCAAGCATTTAAAATGTATTCTCAAGTTTTGTTTATATTTTCAGTCCTGGGCATCTCTTCAGATTTACAGCATGTTTTGTGTTTTTCCTTTTTATCACTTAAGGAGGAGCTTCAAAAGTCACTTTTAAAATTGAACAATGAATGTGACGTAATTAAAAATGCAGCAACAAAAGAAATACATGATTTAAGACTTAATTTGGAGGCAAAGGAAGAAGAACTCAATCAGAGTAGTAAAGAAAAGGAGATACTGATAGCTGAAATAGAAGAATTGGACAGACAGAACCAAGAAGCTACAGAGGTAATTATGCTAAAAACAGTGAGGAAGCGCGTTCTACTCAGATGAACTAACCATTAGAATGACAAATGATTTAATTAAATTTTATTTTAGTTCCTTGATGCTCTGGTCCTAGAGGTTGGCAAACCTTGTCAAGTAAGATGTTTCATAGTAAATTTTTTGACTTTGTAAACTGTTTGTCTTGGTTACAGTTACTCACTGAACTCTTAATTGTGATACGTAAACAAATGATCATGGCTGTGTTCCAATAAAACTATCTATAAAAAGGTGGCAAGCTTGATTTGACCCATTGACTATATAGTCTGTTGACTCCTGCTCCAGTGTTCGAGAGTTGAAAATAAACAGCATATCTCGTTCACCTTTGGTTTTAAATTCTAACTCTTAAATGATAAAATAGATTTGCTATAAGATATCAGTAAATAATTTCATTGGGATTTTACAGAGGATTAGGATATCTGAGTATAACTCTTCTGTTATTTTTTTTTAAAATGTTTTCTTTAGAGGTTGAAATGAAACAATATTTTAAACCTATGCACATTTTCTTTCAGCACATGATTTTGATAAAAGATCAGTTGTCAAAACAACAAAATGAGGGTGATAGCATCATCGATGAACTGAAAAAAGATCTAAATGATGAAAAAGAGAGAGTTCATCAACTTGAAGATGATAAAATGAGTATTACTGAAGAGTTAAACATACAGAAAGAAAAGCTAATGCAAAATGAACTGGTCCTAAATGATTTGCATCTAACCAAGCAAGAACTTGAGGGTAAAGTAGAAGAATTAGTCGATCAACTAAATCAGTCACAAAATAGTAATTTAAACATCCAGAAGGAAAATTTTGAACTTAAGGAACATATTAAACAAAATAAGGAAGAACTTAGTAGAGTTAGGAGTGAGTTAACTCACTCTCTTAATGAAGACTCTAGCAGTAATTTTAAGGAAGATTTGCTTGAAGAAAGGGAAGCCGAAGTCAGAAATTTAAAGCAAAATCTTTCAGAAATAGAACAACTAAATGAACATTTTAAAAAGGCTGCTTTTGATCTCAAAATGGAAAATGAAAAGCTGATTTTAGCATGTGAAGATGTAAGGCATCAGTTGGAAGAATCCACCACTCGCAACAATCAGCTTTCTCTGGAACAGAACACTGTTGTAGAGGCTCTGAAAATAGAAAAAGGACAGTTAGAAGCAGAACTGTGTCAGGCCAAAATGAGGCTATCTGAAGAAGTGAACAGGTATGAGCAAACCATTGAAGAACTGTCAGATGCAGGTAAGCTGAGAACCTCTACTGTACAGCTGGAACATGAGCGTTTAGTTAAACTCAGTCAAGAGAAAGACTTTGAAGTAGCAGAACTCAAAAAGAATATTGAGCAGATGAATGCTGCTCATAAAGAAACCAAAAATACTTTGTCATCTAGTTTAGAAGAGCAGAAGCAATTAACACAACTTATAAATGAGAAAGAAATTTTTATTGAAAAACTTAAGGAAAAAAGTTCAGGGTTGCAGGATAAGTATACTGAGGCCTTAAGAAAAAATGATATTTTAAAACAAACCATAGAGGAAAAAGACAGAAGTCTTGGATCCATGAAAGAAGAAAATAATCATCTAAAAGAAGAACTGGAAAGATTCAGGGAACAGCAGAGTCGAACTGCACTTGTTGCTGAACCTAAAACCCTTGATTGCATCACAGAGCTAGAATCGGAGGTGTCGCAACTGAATATAATAAAGGATAATCTTGAAGAAGAAATAAAACTCCATCAAAAAATAATTGAAGATCAAAACCAGAATAAGATGCAACTACTTCAGTCTTTACAGGAGCAGAAAAAGGAAATGGATGAGTTTAAGTACCAGCATGAACAAATGAATGTCTCACACACCCAGCTCTTCTTAGAGAAAGACGAGGAAATTAAGAATTTGCAGAAAACAATTGACCAAATCAAAACTCGGTTGCATGATGAACGACAGGACATTCAAACAGAGAATTCTGATATTTTTCAAGAAACAAAAGTTCAGAGCCTTAATATAGAAAATGGAAGTGAAAAACATGATTTATCTAAAGCTGAGACGGAAAGATTAGTAAAAGGACTAAAAGAAAGAGAATTAGAGATTAAACTTCTAAATGAAAAGAATAAATCTTTAACGAAACAGATTGATCAGCTCTCCAAAGATGAGGTGGGTAAATTAACTCAGATTATACAGCAGAAAGATGTGGAGATACAAGCTCTTCACGCAAGAATTTCTTCATCTCCCTACACCCAGGATGTTGCTTACCTTCAACAACAGCTGCAGACATATGCTATGGAAAAAGAGCAAATTGTAGCTGTTTTGAATGAGAAAACGAGGGAAAACAGCTATCTAAAGTCAGAATATCACAAAATGGTGGACATAGTTGCTGCCAAAGAAGCAGCCCTCATTAAGCTGCAAGATGAAAATAAAAAATTGTCAACTAGCTTTGAAAGTAGTGGTCAAGACATGTTTAGAGAAACTGTCCAGAATTTATCACGTATCATTCGTGAAAAAGACATTGAAATTGATGCATTAAGTCAGAAATGTCAGACCTTATTGACAGTGTTGCAAACATCCAGCGCTGGTAACGAGGCTGGAGGGGTTAATAGTAATCAGTTTGAGGAACTTCTACAGGAACGTGACAAATTAAAACAGCAGGTAAAGAAAATGGAAGAGTGGAAACAACAGGTGATGACTACTGTACAAAATATGCAACACGAGTCAGCCCAGCTTCAGGAGGAGCTCCATCAGCTTCAGGCACAAGTTCTGGTCGACAGCGACAACAATTCTAAATTACAAGTGGACTATACTGGCCTGATTCAAAGCTATGAGCAGAATGAAACCAAGCTCAAAAATTTTGGGCAGGAATTAGCCCAAGTCCAGCACAGCATAGGACAGCTTTGTAACACCAAAGATCTTCTCTTGGGAAAACTTGATATCATTTCACCTCAGCTCTCGCCTGGGTCATCACTTGCTGCTCAGTCAGCAGAGTCTCTTCAAACAATTAAATGTGATTCATCATTGAGTGACTCTTCTAAATTGTTTCAACAAGAGATAGAAGAGCTCAGGAAATCCCTGCAGGAAAAAGATGCAACAATTAGAACTCTCCAGGAAAATAACCACAGATTGTCTGATTCAGTTGCTGCTACCACGGAGCTTGAAAGAAAAGAGCATGAACAAACTGACTCAGAAATTAAGCAGCTGAAGGAGAAGCAAGATGTTTTACAGAAGTCGCTTAAAGAAAAAGACCTTTTGATCAAAGCCAAAAGCGATCAGTTACTTTCTTTAAATGAAAATTTCACTAACAAAGTGAATGAAAATGAACTTTTAAGGCAGGCAGTAACAAACCTGAAAGAGAGAACATTAATTTTGGAAATGGACATTTGTAAACTAAAAGGGGAAAATGAAAAAATACTAGAAACATCCAGGGGGAAGGAAACAGAGTATCAGGCATTACAAGAGACTAATACAAAGTTTTCTATGATGCTTCGAGAAAAAGAATTTGAGTGCCATTCAATGAAGGAGAAGGCTCTTGCCTTTGAGCAGCTTCTGAAAGAAAAAGAACAGGTATGTTCTGAATGGAGTGTTGGGGGAGGTGACTTTTAAATGTGTTAGTCACCTTATTGATGATGTCTTTAAAAAGGAATATGAATTTGGTCATTTAGAAAATACTTATTTCAGAGTATTGTGATTCATTCTAAATAAATTTTCCTCAGGCATTTTGAAATTTCTCCCTCAGATTATTAAATTTCAAAATACTTTTACAACTAGGTTAATTTTTTGCAGCCTGTTAAGTTGAAAAATAGTTTAGTAGCTACTGGTATTTTTAGAAAATAGAAATGTGTCAAAAGAAGGAATTTTGAAGGCACTGCAATTCAACCAAATTTTAGGTATATTTCAGGGTAGTTGACACTTGAGAGGAGGTTCTTATATGTAAAGGGAAGCTCTGTGAAATAAATGCTACATCTTGACAGTGAACTGCAGTAAGAAATACATTTTACATTGTGACACAGTAAGTACTTGGGTGCAGCATTTGTGCATGTTCAGGAATCAGAAATTAACCTTACTGCATGATACTCTAGAAAAGAGATAATGCTGGATGACCCAGTAAATTGATTTTATGAATTTTATGAATCAGCAAGCTACAACATGGTGTTTGAAAGTGTTATCCTTGAGTAGTGATTGTCTTGTAGGCTCGTAAATACTCTGTCACTGCTGTGACTTCGGGTGTTTATGTGACTGTACAATGGTGGAGAGCTGTAATAATTATACCTAAAGTGCTGGTAGTTTTTGATATGTTTAAATTTTTATATGAAGTAGATTTTATTTTATTTTTTTAAAGATTTATTTATTCATGCATACAAGAACCAGGGTACAGGCCAGATGTATGGGAGGGTGAGAGGATTCACCAGAGACACAGCGGGAAACAGACTGACTGAAATACACTGCTGAAGGGAGCAGTGGGCGAGACAGGAGAGGTCTGCCGAGCTATGTGGGTCAGCTCCCTTGCCAGGGATTGAACTCATGCTGACTGGTGAGAGCTTGATAGCGCTGAGACTAACCTCTGTGCCACCAGAGAGACCCCATGAAGTTGATTTTCCATTTTACTAAGAATATATGGAGTAACTTCATACTATGATATATGCCCTCTTGGGCTTTTTTGGCAATGTCTTTTTACTCTTTTTATTTTTATATTTATATATATATATATATATTTTTTTTTTTCCCAGTAGTAGAAATTTAGAGTAGAAATGATAAAACTGTGGAGTAGTCAATGTGTTTCTTGAATGTTTACATATTGCCAGGCACAAGTTACCAAATGATTTGGTTTTTTGACAGTTAAGTTCTCTCATAGGGTCTTGGGTTCAAGTTTGGGAACAACTGTTATAATTTTCACTTGTTAAGAGATGTCTTACCTCACTTTCCCCTCATTGCCATCGGATGAAGTAGATCAGATCCACTGAGTGTTGAGGTGTTCTCTCAGAGGCGTGCTGCTTCTTCTTTTTTTTTTTTTTAATATATATTTTTTAAGATTTATTTATTTATTTATACAGCACTGGGTACAGTCAGAAGCGCGGGAGGGTGAGAGAATTCACCAGAGCCAGAGTGGGGAACAGAACAGGCAGAATGATGAAACACACTGCTGAGGGGAGCAGCAGGCGAGACAGGAGAGGTCTATCGCGCCATGTGGGACCCTCGCCGGCGGCCGGGCATGGAACCGGCACTGCAGAGGCTGCAGACAGCTTTGCAGCCCAACGCTCAACCACTGCGCCACCAGGGGAGGCCCAGGTGTGCTGCTGCTTGTGGTACTGGTCTGCAGTTGGTATGACAGACTCTTAGGGAATAGAAGCACCCACTAACCAGAACTGGGTATATAACATCTTATGGTTGTAAGAGTATAACAAAAAGAATGCAGAGTGATGTAGTCTGCTTTATACCTTTTTTCCCCCTTTTGCAGTTTTAGCATCTTATAAAATTTAGTTCTACTTCATTAGCATTTATAGATCTGAAGTGTGCAGATTTTGTTAGAGATTGGCTACTTTTCAAGCTGCTTCCCAGAATTAGTAAAGTAATACTTTATTGGATTACGTGCAGCTGATTCATGTAAACTAATTTCTTCCAGTACTCCTGATTTGCGGAGCACCTTTAGAGTATATTGTGACTAGAACAAATACCGTCTTTTTGTTAGGGAGAAAGAGAGGTCAACAGGAGACCTTCAACTCTGTTTTTCAAACATTTGTTCTTTCTCTGTAATATGAAAAAAATTTTACCTGAAAAACTATTTGTAAAATATTGGCCTCATCCAGGAGGAGGGGGTGATCAGATAAAAGGAAGGGGTGATTTTACAACTTGGATGCTATGATTTGTCCTAGGGACATTATATCTTCTTAAAGAAATGGAGAGTTTACATGAAAAATTTTAATAACACAAAACTATAAATTCATATGATATATATATTTAAAATGAAAGAACAGCCTGCACGTTCTGCTGCTTTTTAGAGCCTCACCTGTCATCCTGAATTCATGGCCCTGCCCCTGCCGTGATGGTTATGTGTCTTTTGCTATTGCTGATGTCTTGTACTCCTGTGGAATGCATGCAGGAGTACATTTTCGTTTTCACAACCATCAAGCAAGATAGCAGTTCCAGAACTGATTTCATTAAGTTGCCAAAATGTTCTTTTAAAATAGGCTGTGCAAGTGACATCGCTTTCTTCTGTCAGGCACTTTTACTTTCTCTGAACAGTTGCTGATGCCTGCTGAATGGAATCTCAGCCTCTCCCTCTCTTTCCCTCCTACGTCCCGCCTATATTCTTCTGGGTGATGATGGGGTTTGTGAACTCTTTGTTGTGTAGGGCACATTTGAAAAGATTGTATCTTTAGAGTTTTTTAAAAACATTTCGAATAAGCATTTTCTTTTAGTATATATAGTTTTAGATTATTAGAAAAGTTGGCTAGATAGCAGAAGAGTTCTAGTCTACCTCATATTCAGTTTCTCTTGTTGTTAATATAAACTGATGAACCAGTATGGAGCCATTACTATTAACTAAAGTTCATCCTGGGCCTCCCTGGTGGCGCAAGGGGTTGAGCACTGCACTGTGACGCTGTCTGCAGCCTCTGCAGCCCAGGTTCGATCCCAGCTGCCCTGGGAGCTACCCACATGGCGCGGCAGACCTCTCCTGTCTCGCCTGCCTCACCTGCTGCTCCCCTCAGCAGTGTTTTCGGTCCTTCTGCCTGTTCTGCTCCCCACTCTGTCTCTGGTGAATCCTCTCACCCCCGCATCTCTGGCCTGTACCCCAGCTCTTGTATTCATGAATAAATAAATCTTTTAAAAAAATAATAAAGTTCCTCCTTATGAACTTTCTTAATTTTTAACCAACTGTTCTTTCCCTGCTCTGGGCGGTTACCCAGGAGCTGCATTATTTCAGTCACCGAGCTCCCCTGGACTCAATTTCTGACAATTTCTCGGGCTTTTCTTGTTTTTGATGACCTGGACATGGTTAACTAGATTTTATTTTCTTTTATTTTTCTTTATTTTATTTTATATAATTCTTACATCATTTTTCATTTTTGCACAATGTATGCATTATCATTTTGTTATATTCCCCATACAATTGCACACCCCCCCCTTATTTTGACCGTAGTCCTTCCTCACCCCTTCCCCCGCCCCCATCTCTGGTTTATAGCTGCTTGTTGATTTTTATTTTTACTTTGTATTAATTAGTCTTTTTCCTGGTCCCTTATTTACATTTTCTAAATTCCTGCTATGAGTGAGATCATCCAGTATTTTAATTATTGATGAAGAAATTGTCTTTTTAAATGTTTTTTGTTGTCAAATAAATGTATTTTTCTTCAAGCTAAAGTTGTTTTTTCTCAAAAGGGCAAGACCGGGGAGTTAAATCAGCTTCTAAATGCTGTTAAGTCAATGCAGGAGAAGACAGTTGTGTTTCAACAGGAGAGAGACCAAGTCATGTTGGCTTTGAAGCAGAAGCAAATGGAAAATAGTGCCATACAGAACGAGGTATATTTTCCCATTAGAGAAAGCAGTGTAAACAGTACATTTAATGACTGTTAAGTAAGGAAACTGGAAAGATTGTCAATTAAAATGTTTCTTAGCTGATTTTTTTTCTTTAATCTGATGTGCTATAGTAGAATTTTGATCTCCCAGAGTACATTTCCGTTTTCAAAAGGAAAACCATGGCATATCTTGGATATAAGATAAATTTCCTGCCTATAACATACCAAAAAATGAGATTGACTGAAAAAGTGATCTGTCACATAAAACTTAATGTGTTGTAAAATTCCATTTTCCATTTTAACTGCAGGGAATGATCTTACAAAGTAAAGCTTCCACATGAATTTTTTTCCTAGCAAAAATATATCTTGAGCAGTATGAAAAATTAATGTTCAATGAGTACACTTGAACATGGGTGAAAAATTTCATAACAAAGTAGCTATCCCAGGAGGGAAAGGAGCATTTTATACACAACAAATAAAGAAATGTCCTCTGCCTAGGTTCAACATTTACGTGACAAAGAAGTAAGATTAAACCAAGAGCTAGAGAGATTGCGTAACCATCTTCTAGAAACAGAAGATTCTTATACCCGGGAAGCTTTGGCTGCAGAAGATAGAGAGGCTAAGCTAAGGAAGAAAGTCACAGTACTGGAGGAAAAGCTAGCTTCATCCTCCAGTGCAATGGAAAATGCAAGGTAACCTTTTCATTTTTTTAGCAGTAATTGGACTTTTTAGTGTCAGGGTCAATAAACGTTTTTCATGTTATCTCATTTTATTCTCACAAAATTCTTTACCTCCATTGTACAGATGAAGAAACTGAGGGTAAAAAAATTTAGTAACCTGCCCAGGGTCAGGATTACAGGATGCGAGTGTGGGTTTCACACTTGGGTCTGTAATTCTCAACCAGGTCTGCCCAATTCAATTAAGGTTTGTTTCACTGATTCCTAAACCGTTGCTCTAGATAATTGCCTCTCGTCACTTTAGTACTCCAGACTTAAATTCTGATTGATTTAGTTAATGTGGGCTTTCAAAGAGTTGCTTCTTATGATTTTATTCATTTATTTATTTAAGATTGATTTATTTATGAATACAAGAACCAGGGTGTAGACCAGAGGTGCGGGGATAAGAGGATTCACCAGAAAGAGTGGGGAGCAGAACAGGCAGATCTACCAAAATACGCTGCTGAGGGGAGCAGCAGGCTAGACAGGAGAGGTCTGTTGTACCATGTGGGTTGCTCCCTGGTTAGGGATCAAACTCCTGCTTCAGTGGCTGGTGATAGCTTGATGGCTCTATCTTTAAACCCTGCACCACCCAGGCGGCCCCCATTTTTAATTAAATTATCTAAGGTGATTTTTTTTTTTTTTTAATCTGCTTCTGATGTGCTAGTGTAGAATTTTGATCTCCTGGAGTTTTGCTGTTGGAAGAGGAAAGTAAAGGAAGTAGCAATGAAGACTTAGGTCAGCATGAATCAGCTCTTGGTATATTAGAACTTTTTTTTTGTTTTGTTTTAATTTTTTGCAAGTTTATTTATCTATCTATTTATTTATACAAGCACCGGGTACAGTCAGAAGCGCGGGAGGGTGAGAGAATTCACCAGAGCCAGAGCGGGGAGCAGAGGGGAGCAGCGGGCGGCAGGAGAGGTCTGCGTGCCATGTGGGACCCTCCTCCGGGAGCAGCCAGGGATCGAACTGGCGCTGCAGAGGCTGCAGGCAGCTTCGCAACCCAGCACTCAACTGCTGCGCCACCGGGGAGGCCCGTATATTAGAACTTTTGAGTGACCAAGTGCCTGCTTATGTATTTTTAAATTTTATTCTTTTCAATAAATTTTTTTCCTTTCCCCCCCCTTATTAGAAAAACATTTTATTTTCCACTTCAGGAAAGCCATACAAACCAAAAAGAAATAAAACCACAACCCTGTCTGCTGAGAGATAATCTTTTTTGTTGTTTTTTTTAAATGCTTATATATCTATATAAAAGCTTTTAAAAGTATGTTGTGTGTGTATGTATTTTTTAAAGCAAAACTGAGATCATACTATTCATGTAGTTTTGTGACCCACTTCTATCACTCAATAATGAGTACCAGTGCACATTAAGCCACATAGCTCTGTAACTGTTCTAAGACTACACTATATACCTTCATTTGAATTTGCCATAATTTCTTTAATCCAGTTATTTAGTGTGTTTCAACTTTTCAGAATTACTACTTAGTACTGTCATGATGACCCAAGATATACGTGCTTGTGTTGAGATATGATTCCCTTAGTGTAAATTTTGAGAAATGTAAGTTCTGGTTCAAAGGGCATTGTGTGTGTGTGTGTGTATTTATTTATTTTACATCATTGTTCATTTTTAAACAATGTTTGCTTTCCTTTCTCAGATGTAGTCCCCCTAGAATGTCCACCTGTGCACCATCACCACAGTCCCCGGTGCTCCTCCCTCCCTTCCCCGCCCCTGCAGAATATCTCTGGTTTGTTTTTGTTTTGTTGTACTTTTTTATTGCAAAACAGAATTTCTAACTCCTTTTTGGGCAGAAGTGGAAGAGGTATAGCAATTTAGATGCTATTTCCAAATAAGTCTCCAGGCAAAAAAACGATTCATTTTATCAGGGCATTCAGAGCTGTATTTTCATCTTCACAACTGAGTTTTTCAGGGACCCTTACAATTTACATAGAAGCTAGTGCCTCATTTACCTCACCTCAAAGAGCACTTTTTAAAATCTTTTTTTTAAGATTTATTCATTTAGGGCCTCCCCTGGTGGTGCCGCGGTAGAGTGCTGGGCTGTGAGGCTGCCCGCAGCCTTTGCAGCACTGGTTCGTTCCCCGGCCGCCGGCAAGGGTCCCACAAAAAAAAAAAAAAAAGAATTATTCATTTATGCACACAAGAACTGGGGTACAGGCCAGAGGTGCAGGGGGTGAGAGGCTTCACCAGAGACAAAGTAGGGAACAGAACAGGAGTATCCACTGAGATACACTGCTGAGGGGAGCAGCAGGTGAGACAGGAGAGGGCTGCTGCATCCTGTGGGTAGCTCCCTGGCCAGGATCAAACAAAGGCCATGGCGGTGCTAGCACTGAGACTTAACCTCCAGGTCACCAGGGAGGCCCAAAAGAGCATTTTTTTTTTAAACTTTTCAGATGTTCTGTAGATAATCCTTGAGAAAAAATTATGTGCATTTATCCTTTCATTAGTGGTGTGTCATGTTTTAATCTCTTTACCATGTGTGATGCTGAGGGAGATATAAGGAAATGATATTTCTGTCTGCAGAGAGATTATTTTAGGCCAGTAGAGACAATATTTCTTAGGAAGAATGCCTTCCCCATTTTGTGGGTATATTATTTGACCTTCAGACTCAGAAGGGAAACTTGTTTAAAATGAGAATTAACAACAATGAGTGACTGATAAGTGTGTATTTCACACTGGCAAAAATGCCCCAACACTCTCATGTAATAGAATTCAGCCTCTTATTTTCCCTAACTAAAATAATTTCTAGTCTCTGTCTCCTTACATTTATCTTCATAATAACTGCCAGAATAATCCTTATTAATTAGAGCTGTTATCATATTACTCCTTTTTTTTTTTTTTTTTTACCCCAAAGACAAGGATAGACTCTCAGGATTTGGCCCCAGGCTATACATTTTAGTCTTGGTTAGCACTGTCACCTATAGCCAGCCAAAGTGCCTTACCCAATTCTTCAGATAGAGCTGCTTGTTTCCTATTTGTTTTTTTCTATTTTTTTTTTGTTTCATATTCTTTCTCCTTCCAAAAGAATGGGCCTGATCGTTAAGTTTTTCTATTAATCACATCTACTCTTCAAATAACATTTCTACCATAAAGAATATTTTACACCCCACTCAAATCCAACAAGCCCTGGTATATTTTTTCTTTGTTAAAGACTAATACTTCAGGTTTTATGTTTTACTTTAGTGCACAAGTAATTGTTGACTTGCTGACTTACTGTTTTTCCCACCAAAAGAAATATAAGGTTACTGAGGGCAGGAATGTGTCATTTATTTCATACCTTTCCCATAGCGTATATGGGAAATAAATGCTTTCCCATAGCACATAGTTTAATAGGTATCTCAAATGTACAAACCAGATTATGGTGTTTTGAGTCCGTAACAGTAGTAGCACTTGGTATTTATAAACTTTCGGGGTGCCATCACAGCTTATTTCATCCTTACTCTCTCTGTGAGTTATTTGCCAACCTCCAAAGTTGAATGTAAGTTCAGTATTTGAAGGCAGTTTGTTCTTCTGATTATCAGCTGACTGCTCTTTCCACCAGAGGGTGCTGTTGGTAAGATTTCTTTACCATGAGCTGTTTTTAATGGCCTGCTCTTGGATAAGGATTTAACTGAAGATTAAAAACCCAGAAAAAGCTATTGCAATATTTTCTTTGACATAAGTATACATTAAGGAAGTACAAATTTCTTAGGGATCTCTGATATATTTGAGGGAGGAGGACAGGTGTAGGGATTATTGAATGTAAGTAGAAAGAAAGATGCTAGTAAGAGATAATTAATAATCAAAGCAGTCAATAAATGAGATAACTTGTGAGTTCACCATTGTAAGTGCCAAAACAAGAGAGTGTCATAGAATCCATTGCTTATTAGGTTGAAAGAATGACTTCCAAGATCCCTTACAATTTTAAATTTTATGATAAATTGCATCTTAGACTTCTAGCTTGGAAACATGAAAGTAGAATGTTATTTGCACATTTTCCTTATGCTAATATTTCTTATTTAGCCAATTCTTAGTCTTTAAAATGACTGTCATTTGCTGAAAGTAATTTTCATAGGAAAGATGATGGCATTAAACAGAAAGGACAGATCGGAGGAACTCTTCAAGTCTCTGAAATCTAACTTGAATTTAGTGTAATCATATGTAGAAAAGGTAAAATTCATAGAGACAAAATAGAATGGTGGCTACTGGGAGAAGAAGACATTGTTTAATGGGTGTTCTAGCTTAGGAAGATGGAGAGTTCTGGATATGGCTGCAGGCGATGGTCGTCCGAGTGTTAAGGTGCTTAAGTGCCACTGAATTGCGCACTCAGAAATGGTTAAAGTTATCAGTATCACGTATATTTTGCCACCAGGAAAAAAGTAGGGAAGATGTTTCATTTGTTAAAGTATCTGAATAGATGGAAAGTTTGACTTTTATTTTTTTCATTTGAAGCCATCAAGCCAACTTGCAGGTAGAATCATTGCAGGAACAATTGGATGTAATCTCCAAGCAGAGGGACGAGACAGCACTGCAGCTCTCTGTCTCTCGGGAACAGGTAAAGCAGTATGCATTGTCACTCTCCAACCTGCAGATGGTGCTGGAGCACTTCCAGCAAGGTAAGTTGCGTGATCACTCGGTAAAGAAAAAATACTGTAATTATTGGGAATTTTGGCTACGTAAGTGCTATTTTAAGATCAGGCATGGGGCATCTGTGAAAGTTTACTTGTAGGGGGAAAAAATAAGTGACCTTCAACAAGTTAATTTAGACTCCTCACAATTAAAACTAGGAAATACAAAACTATAGCAATTAAATTTTTGTTTTAAAACTTCAACGAACCCAGTGCCACATGTCAAATATATTTCACCTAAAAGTGTTTTAATATTGTATTATTACCAGTAAGGTGAGAGTTGGGGAAGAGTCAGGGTAATATAGAAAGGATGATTGCATGATACAGAGGCTACTACAAAGAAAGAGAGGCACACATGTAGAAAAGATGATTAGGTTTCCGGTGGTTAGAGATTGAACCCACTTACCAGTAATTACTGTCCTTTTGAAATGATGACCTCGTTCTTAGCTGTTCCTCTGTACTTTGAGGTAGCTACACTTCCTAGTCCGGGTGAAAATTTTTTTTGGAAACAATAAAACTAACCAATGCAATTTCACCTTGAGAGCCAAATATGCTACCACCCAGCCTCAGATTTACCCTCTTTAGGTCATCCACAAATCCACTTGTTCGTTCATTCATTCAGTAATTGTTGGCTGTGAATTAACTCCTATCAATGGTGGTGATTAGGTGCTATGAAGCTCATGGAATAACTGGCGTTATAATTTTGTATCTAAACAAAACTTGTGCATATGTGAATCTTCAGCATTACTCATATGGTCGGAATCTTGAATTTTTAAGTATGATAATTTTCTAGGTCTCTTTTACAATATAGTAATTATTAGAGTGAATATGTGTACAAGATAGTATGGCACTGAGGCTGTAGAGAAAGCTTCGTCAGAGGGGAACTGTTTGGGTGGATTCTGAAGGAAGAGAAGAGTTGGCAAGATGAGAAGGAATTAAGCTGAGGATACTGATCTCATTCATTCCAATTAACATGATGAAGGCATACATAATTTCCTGGAGACATTTGTTTTTGTTGAATTACTAAAATTTCAAATGGTTTAAAATTCTGATTTTGTCACAATTGCACAACATTAATGTAATTTTTTCCCCCTCTTTAGAGGAAAAAGCCATGTATTCTGCTGAACTTGAAAAGCACAAACAACTTACAAATGAATGGAAGAAAAAGGCAGAAAGTCTAGAAGGAAAACTGGAATCATTACAGGTTGGTTGAATCATTTTCTCTTGTAAGTTTTTTTTTTAAAGATTGATTTATTTATACATATAAGAACCGGGTTACAGGCCAGAAATGGGCGGGGAGGGGAGGTGAGAGGATTCACCAGAGACAGTGAGGAACAGAACAGACAGACTGATGAAATACACTCTGCTGAGGGGAGCAGTGGGCGAGTCAGGAGAGGTCTCCTGCGCCATGTGGGTAGCTCCCTGGCTAGATTCATGCTGCAGTGGCTACAGATAGCTTCATAGGTTGTGTCTTAACCCCTTGTGCCACCAGGGAGGCCCTTTCTTGTAGGTTTTATTATTCATTGAAAAACACTTGTAGAATCACCATCATGGAAAGAATCTCCTAAACAATTAGTTTAGTAAATAATACGAGGCTACTCTATACCTTGCTCTGGAGCATAATAGTGAACAACATACCTGGGATTTCCCTGTGTGACTTAATAGACACAGCAAGTGTGAGATTATTGGACATTGTAATTTTTTTGCATAAAGGGATATTTTAGAGATCTCGGGGTGGGGGGGGAGATTTACCTACAATTTTAATTTTGTAATTTTCAACCAGATATATTGGGTATTATATTTCACATAGATTAAAGTAATGTTATCCCATTACATCTTTTTCTTTTCCAGCAAAACCCTTTAAATGCCATATTTCATAAATAATTGCATGGAAGATGTAAATATATCTTTTATAGATGACATCTGAAATAAAGACATATTTCTAATTTATATGACCATATGATATAAATAAAATGAGCCCCTTTGAAGAGATACCAAAGGGACTTGTTTTTCAGATGTAGGGGTTAGATTTTAGATTAAGGATAAACTCTGGTGATAGTTGGTAGAAATAATAAAGCTTGTTTAGCTGTAATTAGTAGTGGATATGCTGTTCAAACATTAATATTCCAAATAAAATGAAGGCATTTCCCTTAAAGTTTTGAAATTTTTATTAAATATTGAGTGACTGCAAAACCTTGTTTAGATAACATGTATAAAACACGAAAATAACAGTATAATAAATACCCAAATACTCGCCACCCATTATTAGAAATAGAATGTCATCCTTTGAAGTTCCTGATGCACTCTTCCATATTTCACACCCTTCCTACTGCCTCATGGCTAACCACCATTTCAGATTTTATTATCCCCTGGCTTTTCTTTGTGGTTTTATCACATAGTTTTGTATCTTCAGACAATATAGCATTTGATTGTATATATAGCAGATCCTTGAATAATGTCATTTGGTTATAAAGTTGATGAGGAATAAAAACGTTCCTGGACAGGACCACGATCTGTGTGTAGTTTGCACAGTCTCCCCACATGCATGGGTTTTCTTGAGGACTTTGATTTCCTCCCACATCCCAAAGATGTACACATTGGATTTATTGGCGTATGTCAGTGTCCCAGTCTGAATGTGTAAAAGTGGGTGCTCTTCAATTAAAAAGGGTGTCCTGCCCTATCCCCTGAGCTGCCATGACACACTGTGGCCACCTGTGAACCTAGATTTATTCAATCTAAAATAAATAGATTGAAAATGAATGGATAGGACCTCCTTGGTGGCGCAGCGGGTTGAGCGCAGCACTGTGATGCTGTCCACAGCCTCTGCAGCGTGGGTTCGATTCCTGCTAGCCAGGGAGATACCCACATGGTGTGGCAGACCTCTCCTGTCTTGCTCGCTGCTCCCCTCAACAGTGCTTTCTGTCCGTCTGCCTGTTCTGCTCCCTGCTCTGACTCTAGTGAATCTGCTCACCCTCCCCCACCTCTGGCCTGTACCCCAGTTTTTGTATAAATAAATTAAAAAAAAAATGTTAAAACAAAAAAAAGAAAATGAATGGATACACATGATTGTTTAATATTAGAAGTGTTTGGGGTCTTTATTTAGAAGTTTGGTGTTTTGTGACCAAAAATATGCTGTGGGAACTTCACTCGTTTTTATCAGTTTGCCTGTGGTAAAGTTGGTTTCGGTATATGTTGTTTGCTTAGCGTTGGCACAGTTTCCAAGAACATTATCAACAATGTTAAGTGAAGACTTAATATATTTTGAACTCCATTATAAATGGAATTTTAGCTATGTAAATTGAACAATTCTCCTGAGTCTTGCTTAATTTGCTTACTATTATGTAACTTCATGAGTTGCAAACATGTTACTGAGTGATGTGTAGAGGCTTCATTATTTTCATTACTGTGTTCATTGCATGAATATATCATCTATTTACCCATTTTTACCGATAAAGGGCATTTCCATTGTTTGCTATACAAACAGTGCAGTGACGAACTTCCTTATATATATATCTCCTGATACACACGCAAGACTTTCTTGATTGGAATTGATGAGTCATGGGCTATATATGGGTAACTTCAACTTTATTAGACGATGGCAGATTGTTTTCTAAAGCAACTGTGCTAAATTACTCCTCCCAGTGGGACTAAGGGTTCTGGGTCTATGTCCTTGGCAACTCTTGGCATTATCGGAAATTTTAAGTTTTGCCAGTATGTTAGATGAGAAGGGCTATCTTCTTGTGGTTTTAATATGTGTTTCTCTGAATACTAATGAGGCTGGGCATCTTTTAATATGTTTATCAACCATTTATACTTTCTGGTTAATTCATTAATACATTCAAAAGATACTTTTAAATTGACTAAAATATTTTACTCAACTTTCCAGAAGGTCCAGAGTATCTAGTTTGCCATACTATCAAAAGTCCAGATTTTCTTTTCTTTTTCTTACTTTTGTCACCATGTTTTCCTTTAGTAGCATCTTGTTTTTTTATTTAGTTCCTCTAGAAAGCAATATTATAGTGTGAAGAGTATGTGAGTTCTAGCATTGAGACTAGTAGCATGAACTTTTCCAAGGTTATAGAGGTACAGCTTCATTGGTTGAAATGAAAAGTTTGGGCTCTGAGATGCCTTCTAGCACTGTAGTTTGTGAAATAGTTTTTGCATGCTGCTTTTTAATGAACTGTCTGCCCTCAGGAGCGTTTGGATGAAGCAAATGCTGCCCTGGATTCAGCATCGAGACTTACAGAACAGTTAGATCTAAAGGAAGAACAAATTGAAGAACTTAAAAAACAAAGTATGTTTATTTCCTTTTCCTTTTCCCCCGGGGTTGATTCAAATGTGGTTATCAAGCTGCACCTATGCATTGGTTCAGTTGAGGGAGACAACTTCCGTTGGTGTGTGACTTCCATTTCCATGTTCGTTGACCAGTTTGCTTCATTTTGATTATTTTAACAAAACCAGTAGTCCTGGTAAAACAGAGTCATAAGTTGGCCCTGGCTATCAAGTTAGTTTTCCTGCATATTGAAGCAATCCAGTTGTATTGACTTTTGCCCCCACATCCAAAGATGTACACATTGGATTTATTAGCGTATGTCAGTGTCCCAGTCTGAGTGTGTAAAAGTGTGTGCTCTTTGATAAAAAAGGGTGTCCTGCCCTATCCCCTGAGCTGCCATGGCAGACTGTGATTGATTAACTTGACTGTTGATGTGATTGACTTGACTTTTTTTATAGTTGTGACTTCTTCCTGATCAATCCATGTTCATCCTACCTGAAGCCTTCTGATGGGTTTGAGAGGGCACTATTTTATGTGGAATGAATGTCTGGGTGTAACTAGCTTTTCATGATTATAGATGGTACTTTACATATAGTCAATCATCTTGTGTTTTGATGCTCTTGGGGTATTTCATTAACCCTGTCAGTTCCCTAATGTGAGCCATGTACTTGGGATAATTAATTGTACCTAGGTAATCAGGTGGTTCATAGTGCTTTGTTGAGTCTAACAGCTGACAGAGATGGCGTGTGCTCATATAATCTCTGATTTAAGGGTTCTTAGGAAATTGAAAATATACTAGGGCTGCATTCAGTGGGAAGTGATTTGAGGTTATTGAAAGGGACAAAATGGAGCCTAGAAATTCATCAACTTTTAGGTGCCTGGGTTAGGCGCAGCAGCACTGAAGTACATCATTAAGGAATTAAGAAATAGTACCTAACATAAAACAGAAACTAGAACTAGATAAAAATCCACAGAACATGCCTCAGCAGAAATACCATCAAACACTGTGGGGGCAAGCATGTAAGAACCACGGAAAGCTTGGATGCCAAAGGACAAATTAGAGAAAGTCAGCCTAAATCCAGTACAAGACAGAAGATGAGAGAGTTTTAGGAATCCAAAAGGCAGTAAGATCGAGCATAGGAAGTAGTTTTCCTCAAGATAACTTGGTTCTGAGAGAAATTACTGCCCAACTAAAAGTCCTGTTTACTTTGTAAGAGTTGGCCAACCTTGGAACTCAAGAAATCTTGAGTTCCAACTGGACTGGAAATGGGCATTAAGGAAACTATTATATATTGACTATTGTGGAAATTTTTATATAACATTACAGTATTATTCTCAAATTTTGTGTACTTTTCATAAGCAAACCTAAAGTTTTTACAGTTTAAAGAAACAGATTTGAATTTACCCATGACTAAATCTCATGATCTTTCTGCGGTACTATATTTCTTCCTGTCTGGAAAATGTTATAGTAGGACTTACATTTTGTTCTCTGTATCTTCATCTACTTTGAAGATAGGCCAGTATCCTGTGTGCTGTGTCCCAAATGTTGAAATGGTTGCCTTTACCTGTAAGCACTGTTTATTTTGAAGAACAGTTTAGTTAGGTTAAGGGCCAGTGCAACCACAATGTTATCTGGAAGACATATGGGTGTCCCAGAGGAGACACACTGGGCACCCAAAGGATTAACCAAAGAATTGATATCTTAAGGCAGGGCTTCACTAGTGGAGGTGAAAAGACAGTGTTCTGAACCATTGGTCTGTAACAGCTCAGTACCATCTGTTCTGATGCTGTAATATTTAAGGCCAAATCCCTTTTAGACATTTCCCTGAGTCATTCCTGGGAGATGATGGTAAGATGAAAGAGTCACTGGTTTGTTGCATTTGATAAGTATTATCAGAGTCCCTGTACTACTTAGTACTTGTTCAGATACCACTTAAACCCTTTAGTAGAATATTTTCAGATTTTTATTATCTCTGACAAGGCTAGGTCTCTATTCATGTAAAAAATTACAGTACTCATTGTAAATACATAGGAACTTTAGACTCATTTTGTGGAATCAATATTAGCTACAGAAAAAAACTAATTAGGCTCATACCACTGATATTTAGAAAGACAGGCAAGGGGCCAGTCTTGCACAGACAGGAAGGTGGAGTAAAGACATAGTTTTGTTATGTCTTTAAGTCACTCTTGCCATTTACAGTTTTTAACAATCTGTTTTTTTCTTTTGCTATCTAAGTGCTTAATATTGCTTTTATGTCCCTCAACACAAATGTGATTTTATTTTCTCAAAACTACTCTTGATAATTTAAATAAGACTTTGATTGGCTTGGTTGTTTCAAAAGAATCACTGTATATTTTCTTTCCTAGATCATTAAGTACTTTAAATGCTGATTGATGTTGTAATACTGTACTTTATTTTTAACACAAAACTTGGCCAGACAGCAAAAATATTTGCCAGGAGAAACAATTTTGAAAAAGACAGATTGGCTTTTGTTGCACGAAAGTACAGAGACTTGAATTGTAGAGGCAAAGTATTATTTTATTTCTAAGCATCTGTGAACTGTTGATTAGTCGGTACATAGTTTCAACATTTAAACAATATTGGGAAATTCAGTTTAAAAAGTGGTATTTTATTCAAACTCTTGATTATGTTATTGGTGCCAGAGATGAGATGATTCAGTCTAGTCAAACTTATGAAAAGAGAACTATAATGCCAGCATTAAAAGAGTAGATAGTCAATCGTTTTTAGAGTACATAGTTGTTGGTGCTGTGTACATGCAACTGTGTGATGGATTCAGGGGAGCCACCGGCCTTGGGTGAGAAGTATGAAGATGCATTATTAGGCTTTAAGAACTTAATGAGAACCAACTGCTCAACTTCATGTTAGATGGTATGTGAGATACTAGATAAGATCTCTTTCTTTCAAGGAGCTTATTAGATAAGGAAATAACACACAGCATGCATGCCAGAGGTTCATATTTAATACAGTGGCACAGAACAGTGGTCATGAGCAAGGCATGTTTAGTTCCCTGTAAATCCCAGGGGCATTCAAGGAACGTGAGCGGAGTCCTAAACCAGTAGCAGAATTTCACTATGAAAATGTAAGAACTTCTCTCCCTCTCCCACCCTTTCTCTCTCTGCCCCCTGACCTGTTTCACCCACCTTGAAAAAGTAACAATGAAGGGAAACCCTCAGATCTTACAGATGCTATCTGTGTTTTTTTTTTAAGATTTATTTATGCATACAAGATCTGGGGTACAGGGCAGAGGTGTGGGGGGTGAGAGGATTCACCAGACACAGAGTGGGGAGCAGAACAGGCGAATCTATTGAAATACACTGCTGAGGGGAGCAGCAGGCGAGTCAGGAGAGGTCCGCTGCGCCATGTGGGTCAGCTCCCTGGCCGGGGATTGAACTCATGCTGCAGAGGTTGCAGAGAGTTTCATAGTGCTGCATCTTAATCCCTTGTGCCACCAGGAAGGCCCCTGCTATCTGTATTTTAATATAGTATTAACTGGTAAAAGAATTACTAATCCTTTTAGAAATTCTTTAAACATTTTGCCTGAATATAATTCAATATCATTCTTAAAACTTATTTCAAATGCCATCCTGTGTTTTTTTTTTTTTTTGTTTTTTTTTTTAATAGAGGCATGCTTATTTATTTATTTGTTTGTTTGTTTGTTTGTTTTTGTTTATACATGCACTGGGTACAGTCAGAAGCACGGGAGGGTGAGAGAATTCACCAGAGCCAGAGCGGGGAGCAGAGCAGGCAGAAGGACCGAAGTACACTGCTGAGGGGAGCAGCGGGCGGCAGGAGAGGTCTGCTCGCCATGTGGGACCCTCCTCCGGTGGCCGGGGAGCAGCCGGGGGATCGAACTGGTGCCGCAGACGCTGCGGCAGCTTCGCCAGCTTCGCAACCCAGCGCTCAACCGCTGCGCCACCGGGGAGGCCCGCCATCCTGTGTTTTGATTGACCTTTGACACTCAAGATGTTAGTCCCTGTGAAGCAGATGGGACATTGTCTCTCATGAACTATTCTGCATTGATCAGAGTTCAGCATTTATAAGGACTTGTCATTCATGGGAAAACACACACCTGTGGAAGTCTAGACTACAGCTGAACTGTTAACATTGAAATAGAAAACAAGTTATTCAGGAGGGTGCTGAATTTTGTGATAGGCAAAAGAAAATAGGTTTCATAAAAAATACAAGTTTAGATTCTACCACTAGGAAAATCTTTTGGAGTGTCTGCCAGTTTATACTAATACCTTAAAGGAGTCCGTAACTGATTTTTTAAGAACGGTTTTTAAAGCTTTAAAAAGGTTTTCTATGAATTGGGAATGGAAAATTTCCTTAGACTGTTTTTTAAAGAAAATCTAAAACATATAAAATGAGTCCCAGTCAACCTACTGTAACATGAAGCATAAAAACATTTTAAAGATACAAATATAAAATAAGTTTATATGTTTTTCATGGAACTGCCTTTATGCCGCTGGATGGTAGAGTTTTTATTTTAAATAAAGACATTCCGTTTTCCAGGACATGATTTATACAAGAAAACATATAATGTCCTGTTGAACACAGGCCAAATACATTCCCAGACGCTTTGTTACTCAAACCTTTTGAGGGCTTTCTTTATAGATGTTTTTGGCAGAAGTGGTGATTTTAGAGGAAATGTATAAGAAATACCAGATGCAGCTTTCTGAATTGCCTTAAATGGTTAAAAAATTATTTATGATGATATAAACATCTGGGTATACCAGACAATGCTGTAATTTAAGGGGGGAAAAGTTGATATATCAGTGAGATAAATAATTAAGCCTTTTTCAGCTTGTTATATTATGCTCTGTTCCCAGGTCCTCTTCCCTTCCCGAAGTAAAATTTATCATCCATTTATTTATCATACATTATTTTATGCTGTTTCCCAGACGTTAAAATAGGCACTGGTGATACACCGATAGTGTGCACTAGGATCTTACTTTCAGAAGGTTTGCAGCCAGACACGAAGGGGAAGATTACATGGAGT